GCCTCCTTCCCCGTCTTTCCACTCAGAAGGCCTGGAGGGGGCAGCGCCACTCAGGCCGCCCCTGGACCTCCTGACTCTCTCATTCTACCTGGGCTCACCTCTCTCTGTCTAGTCCTGAGCTCCAGGTCAGGCCAGGCTCTTCCCTGGGTCTTCTTCAGGCCCAGCTCAATAGTAAAACCAGGAGGCCCTAGTCTGCCATGACCTTGGGTTGGGCCAGCAGCGTTGTTACGTGAATGCTTACTTTGAATGTCTCACACTCCTTTGCCACAGGCACCCTTTCCAGCCCTTAACCTCACTTCCTTATGCTCAACAGGCAAAGAAATACTAATCCCTGCTGCGAGCCATTCCTTAGCACCACGGCTGGCACACAGTAGGTGCTCAAGCCATGCTGAGTAAGCAGGGAGGGAAGGAGAGGAATGACATGGACCACTGAAGTCCAGAGGCAATCCCAGCACCTCATGCCCTCCACCACCACCGCCCCGTCCCAGGCAGCAGCTCCATGCTCTCGCCTGTACCAGCTGGGTACACCAAAAGGCGTCTGAATTTCCTTATCCATTTCTGAATGCTCTTGCCCAGAAAAATCACTGAAAGGTGGCGGTGCCTCTGGGAAGAGCCGAAGGCAGACTGAAATGAGGAGCGAGGGAATCCGGGCAGCTGGACTATAGGCTGGGCCCATCACCAACCATTCTGGAACCCTAAGGACTCACTTGCTTCTAATTCTTCATTAACAAAACAAACAGAAGTGGGACCTGGCTCAGCCCCATGGTCACCTGGGTGACAGCTGGGATGAGTCTCCAGGGAGCTGATTGTTACAGCTCCTCCACCCTCTCTCCAGAGGGAATGGGGAAGCCATGCCCTCTGACCTGGGGCAGGACAGCATTCTGAAGGGGACCACAGAGGAGCCTCGCATGCGGCCGGCCTTGTCATACAACACCACCTCCCTACAGGATTGCGTAACACCGTGGATGCATGCCTGCTTCAGTGCCTGATATGCCTGGTATGCAGTGAGCACTCTATAAACGTTAGTTAGGTTAGTAATTACTATGTCCGTGAGCAGAAGCCCAGGCAGGGCCAGGCTGCCTCGATCACTCCAATGCCTCTCACTGAAGCCCCTTAATGGTTCTCCATCTCCATAGCTAGTCAACTCCAGAATTAAAGTTGGAAGGTGTTTGGGATGACATTCCTGAAGACGAAGAGGGAAGTCAAACTTGCAACAGCTTCTCTCCTCCTGCGGGCCCAGGACACTTACCAATGTCTGTAGCCAGCTGCTTGGTGGAGTGTGGGGTCAGTTCTGGGATCTGGAGGATCACATCGCAATAGGTCTGCATGGTGGCCCTGGCAATGGAGCCCAGCCAGTTGTCAGCCATGTTGTCCAACTCAGGAAGTTCATCCCCTGAAGGAGAGAGGTTATAGAGAAATACAAAATCTGCTCAGCAGTTACTGCTCAGAGTATCCCAGCTCCCAGTAAATACTACATGCCCTAAGGTGCCAGGGAGCTGGTGGGCTCAGTGGGAAACAGAACGGGGAACCTGTGGGTCCACTGGCACTGACCAGGGACAAGAAGAAGTCAGAAAAGGAGTCAGTCTGGCGCAGCTACCCAAGTCCCTATAAGCCTGGGAAACAAATCAAGCCACAGATGCCAAGACAGTTCTACAGGGGACCCTAGAGAGAAGAGAGCCTCAAAGTAAAGGCAGAGGTGGGTGCTAAGGGAGCAAAGAGGCAATGCATGAGAGGGCGCCATGTGCCATGCTGGGACCGTGACTGTGGCCTCCCACTTGCTGGGATTATAGGCATGAGCCACCAGTGCAGGTTTCCTGCTCTGTATTTGACAACTACATCACTGGGAACTTGGAGAGGTTTACAGCTGACAGGGTGTTGAAGATGGCTCTATAAGCCCCACATGGCGGGCACCCACTGCTCCCTGGACAGCAGGCGCTATGGCTTTCTGGTGCTCTCACCTTGCTCAGGAGGGAATGGCAGTTTCCCAGCATGCAAGGCCAGCTCTAATGCGGAATCCTCTTGCGTCACAAATGGCTCAAGATTCAGGGGCAGGGACATGAGGTACTGCCCAATCTGCAACAAAAGAAAGCACTTTCAGACACTGACCCACCTAGGCAGTGACTCACCGAGTTCATTTCTGAGAGGCAAAACTGCTAAACCTTGGAGGAGCACCAGTATGAGTGAGGTGAAACTACTTATGGCAACAGCTCAGAAACAAGCACTAAGGGGCTGGGGAGAGCTCAGCCAGGCAGGCACTGATGCTCAAGCCTGAGGGAGAACCCAAGTTCTTCCCCAGCACCCGTGTGAAAAGCCAGGTGTGGTGGTGCATGCCTGTAATCCCAGGGCTGAGGAAACAGACAGGTGGATCCCTGGGGCCTGTTAGCCAGCCACACTAGCTGAATCAGGGAGATAAAAGCCTCAGTGAGAAACAAAGTGGCTAGCCAGCCTCTCATGCACACTCCCTTTTACACACGCACGCACGCACGCACGCACGCACGCCAAGAGTCTTGCTCCACCCTGTAGACCCATCCTTCTCAGCAGCGGCTCCAGTGTTCTGAAATGCATTCAGCACCACCTACTTCAATGAGGCAGCGAGCACCAAAGACTTCGCAAGACTGAAAACACTGTGTAAAACTGAGTTCTCATTACTGCTCACAGACAAAGTCCACTCGGGTGCTAATGTCAGCAAGCGTGCCCAAGTCCTGTCACTTGGACAGGCCGCCTTGGAGTGCACCCAAGGAGCTCTTACATTGCTGATGTACTCCAGAGGCGTGAGGCTGAAGGCAGGCAGATCGTCTGTCAGGGTTTCTCCAATGCCAGCTGTGTTCCAGCTCTGGGAGGGGACAGGAGGAAGCAATTAGAAACAGGCTACCAGGCAGCCCTAGAAGGTACACTGTGATAGCACACAGAAGCCAGCATGGCCCTTCCTGAAAGAGTCATCCATTGGCAGGGCTGGCCTGGAGGCCTGACGCCACTCAACAGGCCAGGGACATCTCTTTGAATGTCCTGGAAGTCCACCAGAAGGTGCAAACTTCCAACTCCTACACCAGCCTACAAAGGTGCACTGATGGACACTGATGGCTTCTGCTTGTGCTCACTAGGAGCGTGAGATGAGTTAGGTTCTCCTTAGTCTGTGCTTATATGCATGGGTCGCCATGCAAAGAGGTGCCGAACACTAACCTTGGCCTTCGGAATTCTGAAGTGGATGGGAATCTCTGCTCTTTCTCAGAGGATACATGAAGACTGCTCCTCTTGGGAGGGAGGCCCCGTAAGCCTGTACTGCACAGAACCCACACCCAAAACCACTCTGACTCAAGTGAGGATGTGTTGCCTTCTCCATGTATGTCTAGATGACCCAGGGCTTGGGCAAAACCTGAAACACTGTCCTCTATCTCTCTGGTGGTCCTCTGTGAGGGGACAGCCTCAGCACCCCAGGCAGCTCTTGCTGTTTGAAGTGGAGCCACCTGGACACTGTTGCATGAGCTTCCTGACAACCCATAAGCATGTCCCCCAACAGCACACATGCGCGCACGGCCTCATCTTGGCACGCCTCTCCGAGAAACCCAGCTTCTTGATTCCAGCCTGGAGAACAAGGCCCTCTCTGGCTGGCCTCCAGGAGTAACCCTTGAGGTCACAGCGTGGCTGCTCTCAGCAGCCACCTGGTGCCGAGCCGGTTGCTTGATCCTTTAAGTAGCATTCCCGGAATGGAATGACAAAGCTACCCTGGGGCTCTGGGCCCAGGCTAAGCCTTAGCAAGCCTCTGTATCTAAATGCCAACTCCAGCTAGTCTCTGTTTCTTTTTTCTTCCTGGCATTGTCTTATCCCTTTCTGTTTTCTGCATTCCTTGTGCTTGTTTGAGAATCTTTTTATTCAAATATCCCACCCACCCCAACTAACTCCCATCCATTTTGTTTTATTTGTGTGTTTGTTTGTTTGTTTCGGATGGGGGGTCTCATAAATCCCAGGCAAGCCTTAAATTCACCATGTAGTCAAGGATGACCCTGAACTCCTGATCCTCTTGCTCGACCTCCCAAGTACTTGGACTGTAAATACAGAACCATGTAGTGCTGGGGATTGAACACAAAGCTTCATTAATACTAGGAAAATGCTCTATCAATATCCCTACATCCTTTGCTCTAAATCCACTTTAAGGGAACACTCCACTCCCACACACTTAGTGTCGTAGTTGGAGTGAGAATGGCCCCCACAGGCTCATAGATTGGCATATTTAGTCTCTAGTCGGTAAACTGCTTGAGAAGAATTAGAAGGATTAGAAGGTGTGGTCTTGTTGGAGAAAGTGTGCCACTGTGGGTGGATTTTGAGGTTTCAAAAGCCCATGCCAGTCCAGTGGCTCTTTGCTTGCTGCCTGTGGATCAGATATAAAGCTCTCACCTTCCACTGCAGCACTATGCCTGACTGCTTCCTCCCATACTTCCTGCCATGATAATGGAGTAAACTATAAGCAACCCCCAGTGAAATCTTTTCTAACAGTCGCCTTGGTCATGGTGTCTCTTCCTAGCAATGGAACACTGTCTAAGACACTTACCTAGTTCCCATAATGTTCACTTTCTCATACTAGCCTTTGTCCTTGTTCTCAGAAGCTACTGAAGGAGCAAGATGGCTAGAAACCCACTCCCTCCCTACCACATCCTCTCAGGCTATTCTCTGCCCTCTCTTGTGTGTGTACAGAGATGGGCTGGCACTGAGGGCTGTGTGAGGTACAAGAGCTTAGGGAAGGGAGCAGTGACAGGATGTAGGCAAATGTGAAGTTGCGGAAGTGAGGATGGAAAGAGAATGAATAGCTCTCATACCTGCCTAGGAATAGACACCATATTAAACAAGTAACTTTCTGGGAAAGGTGGGGTGGGCAGGAGAGGACAGAAAGGAAGGGAAAGAGCAAAAAGAGAAAGGGAAGGAGGGAGAGAAACATACAGTTGAAGAGAAATGGAAGACAGTTTCACTATGCAGGACCCTGGCTCCTTATCCAAATAGTGGAATTTATAAAATAATTGAAAATCAGAACGCAGATGAGTGATACTGAGAAATTGTTCGGGGGGGGGGCAGAGAGATGGCTCAGCCAGTGAAGTGCTTTCCATCCAAGCCTGCTGACCTACGTCTGATCCCTGGAACTCACGTAAAGGTGGAAGGAAAGAACTGACTCCACGAAGTTGCTCTCTGACCTCAACATACAGGCTGTAGCATACATGTGGCTGCCCTTACACAGCCATCCCTCTCATACACACAACAATAATAATAATAATAAGAAGAAGAACAACAACAACAACAAGAACAAGAACAAGAAGAAGAACAAGAACAAGAACAAGAAATGGTCTTCCTAGAGCCCTTCAGATGAAGCTGTGTGCTCCAGAGCTGGTCACTGTAGCAACAGAATGAGCTTTCCACACACACCCCCTACTCTGCATGTGTAAGGATTCCTGTAATAAAAAGTCTTTAAAAGCAGACTCTCAGGGCTGAAAAATGGTTCAGTGGTTAAAAACACTGTCTGCTCTTCCAGAGGTCCTGAGTTTAATTCAATCATATGGTGGCCCTGTTCTCCTCTTCTGGCACGCCGGTGTACATGCAGATAGAGCACTCACATATGTAAAATAAATTTTAAAATCTTTAAACAAACAAACAAAAAGCAGACTCTCAAAGATAGACACAGTGGTATACACCTTGAATCCCAGCACTCAAGAGGCAGGTCTCTATGAGTCTAAGGTGAGCCTGCTCTACATAATGAGTTAGAGGACAGTCAGGCTATATAATAAGAACTTGTCTCAAAAAGTAAATAAATAAATAGATATATAAAATAAAATAAAGCAGGTTCTCAGACTGGTCCTGGGGAGCCATGGAAAGGCTAAAAATTATATCAGAACAGTGCCCTGTAAAACTGCATCCAGCAAACACCCTGAGGGAGACTGGGAGTGAGCAATGGAGTGAAAAACATTTCAGAGATGGTGGAGACCTGAACCAGGCAGCAGTCAGAAAGTGGAAAGCCCAGAAGTGACACTATGGGGCAGGACAGGGGTGAGGAATGACACAGCAAAGACCATCGTCGTCACCATCTATCAAGAGTGCAAGTGCTAAGAGTTGGAGGCCTGAGCCAGGCATCTGAGAGGAAGCAGAGAGAGCTTCAAGAGAACAGAGTCAGGCACAGAAGGGAGGGAGGAAGTCTGGAAAAGGGTCAAGAGGGAATGGCCTGAGGTGGGAAGGACTTGGAGAGCAGGCAAACAAGGCTCACTTGAAGAGGGCAAGGCGGAAATGGTGGAGGTTATTTCTTAATTGTTCAAGATTTACTTAAACTGCCCTTCAAAGGGGCTTTTCTATTAATCTGTCAGCAGGTAATTCAGGTAAACGTCAATAATTTATTCTGAATTGAATATAGTGTTGGTTAATAGTCTTAAAATACAAAGGGGCAAAACAATTTACCAGCAAACATTCAATGACCAGGGTTTTACTTTCAAATCCTCAAGGCCTAAGTGTTTGCCCTTTTATTGTGTGCTGGACGCAGTCTCCCACACAACTCCTTCTAATCCCCAAAGCTACCTTGGTCTACCCCAGCGTACCAGCACCATGGTAAAGCCTGAACAAGAAGTGGGGATTCCAGCAACTGGGCTAGGAGTCACAATAAGAAACTCTGGAATGCAGAAACTAGAGGCGAAAAGGCAGGTGGGAGCCCGTTTCAGTGTGGAACTAAGACCAACTGCTGGTGAAGTAAGGCCAACATCTTAAACTATGACAAAATAAAACGCTAAGAACATAGGCCATGTTTAGTTCCCAGCACACATACCGTGGCTGATAGCTATCTGTAACTCCAGTTCCAGATGGCCTTCCCATCATCTCTGCTGCATCACCTCTGCAGTGTTAGAAACACAAACTCCAACTAGAGTCGACCTCACAGCATCTTGTGGGGTGAAAATCAAAGTCCCAGAGTGGAATGAACACCAAAACCATGCAGGCGAACAGAGTCGATTTACGGACAGAGATTCTCAGACCTAGAGAGCAGCTGAGACTTAACCAAGGCTATAGGGTTTTTCACACACTTTCTAGAGGACAGCAAAAACCCAAGGCCTTGAAATGATACCATTCAAGTTCCTGGATCTGTGTGTGCCCTGGAAGAAAGCACATAGCTGGCTGGATCTTTCCCAAACAATTACCTTCCAGAACCTAAGCAGACTGAGAAGCTGACAAGACCAGGGTGCCCTGGCCAGCAACCCAAAGGGAGAGCAATGGGATCAGAACCAAGGACAGATGGGGCAAGTGGACAAGATGTGACTGTTGGGCAGCTCCTCCAAAGGCAACTGGGACAAGCAGAGAAGGGAAGAGGGCATGAGGTAAGGGCAGGGAGAGGACTCTGAAACAGGCAGGCAGGAAGATATCAGAAAAGACAGTAGCAGCACCGTGGGGTGTGTGGCCTGCAATGGCAGCACAGCCCAACTAAGGCAGAGAGGGTCATGACTTCAAGGCCAGCCAGGGGAGCAGAGCCAGCGAGCAAGCCAAAGCCGAAGAGCCCCCTCCAAAACAATGAATCAAGGCACATGAGGCATGCTCCTGCTCAAGAACCACAACTGTTGCCTCTGGCAGGAGAACAACCCAACATCAGGGAACCAGGGCATCAGAGCAGCACACAGCGTCCTGAAAATGTGGGAAAAGCCCCACCAACAGGAATGCTAACAAGCACTAACAACCTTCGGAAAGCCAGGTGTGACAGCACACACCTATAATCCCAGCACTTGGGGGCTGAGGTAAGGGGGATGGTGAGATTCAGGCCAGCCCAGGCTACGTAGTAAGACCCTGTCTCAAATAAGAACCACTATCACTATCACCATCATCTTATGAAACGGCCTTTCAATGTAGCACCTGAGTAACTACAATTAAGGTAAGAAACTCATGCCAAGCTGGAGACTGAAATGACCAAGTGATTGGGCCGCCCTCAACAGCAAGGCTGTCTGCTCCTGCATCTCCTGGAAGGCGGGGAGAAGATCCTGGCACAGGCTGAGACTATGCGGAATCAGGGAGTACAGACACTGCAGTCAGTGGGAACTCACATCCATCCTGGAAATGAGCAGCAGCTGCTGTTTGATGCGCAGGAAGACGGAGTCGAAAGCCAGCTGGTGGGCCTGCTGGTTTAGCCGGGTCAGGGCTGTTCGTGATGCAGACAGCAGGTTGTGGTTACTGGACCCCTTTTCCTGACGCAGGAAAGGCAAAGGCAGTTAAGCCCTAAACAAGGTCGTCAGCGAGTTAGAAGCACTGAAAGATCACTAAGTGGAACACAGTGAATGGCTTTTACAACAGTGGTCCCCAAACCTGACTATGCCCTTCCTGGGAAAAGGTTATCTGACAGATTCACAAGTTCCAAAACACTGAACCCGTGAGGGCTGACGTCACTTTCCAGGTGACTCTGATGCGTTTCTCCCAACATGAGTTTATGGATTTGCAGTTTAGGAAAATCCAACTTGTGACCACCCCTTGGGGACTGAGGAAGAGGGAAAAAGATCCACGGCCTCACATATAAACAAGAGTGACAGACAGAGCTCTGATTCCCAGAGAGGTCAGGTCAGTTACCCTTGGCTGAAAGCCAGAGCATGTACAACCTGTGTGAGTCCTGGGAATCCACAGAGCCTGAGAAAATACAGGGATGGAAAATGTAACCTTAGTTCTTGTGATTACAAATGGGCCGATTACAACAGACATAAATCAGATTAGCAATAAAGATAAACAGAGTTGGTTTAACTTAATCTCAGGAGCATGGATGAATGAGCTTACAGAATTGCTTTAAGAAAGTGTGTTTGTCAAACTCAGATATAGCCAGTGGTGGGCCAAGGATGGGGAGCCTCTGGGGAAGCAACAGGAGGGCCTCGGTGCACAGGTCACCGCCAGAGCACTGTGCTCATCAGGAGAGCTGTGGGCCATATCTGGTGGCATCAGAATGCATCTCCAGTGGGGAGCGTTCTGAGCCAGATGCCCTGGTCCTCTTACCATCCCGTGGGCCATGCCTGGAAGCTAGGTGACTCATTCCATTTGCTGGAAGTCCTCTTGGCCCTGGATCCAAAGGGCCTAAAGCTCAAAGCCAAGGTTAGCTTCAAAGAAGATGAAGGCTACGAAGACTAGCCAGGAGGGGACCCTCCCCGCACAAGGGGGTCTTCCTTATACAGGTTTACTAACTGCAGACAGTGCACATCCGGTCCCTGGCTGCCACTCATAAAAGGGACCGTTGCTACATAAGGACCAGGGACTCCCACTGCCACAGTCTCATAGACAAGTTTATCTCTGAACTGAGATACAGTAAGCTAGATGGGCAATTCTCAAGCCTGGTTTTCATCCATAAAAGACCTGTCCACTCAACTCCCATAGCTCTACTCAGCCAGTTCCAACCCAACTCCTTAAAGCCTCACATACAGGAGACAGAGATGATGGCAGGGCTACAAACGGAGCCAGAAAACCTGGCACCAGGGAAGAGTGAGTGACAAGGGAAAGCTTTCATTTGTAAGAATGCCGCTGGTCTGGTCTCATACCTTGAGGGTATAAAGTATTTCCATTAAACTGGCATATTCAGCAGGGTTATCTTTCTGGAGGTAATTATATTCCTGCCATGGGTTCTTGGCAGGGCTCTTCTTGTCTGTCAAGATGCTGTCCTGAAAACCTGCCAGGCTCCGAGGGCTGTAGGAATCAGACAGATACTTGCCCGCCGTGGACAGGATCCTGAAAGGAAAGTGGTGAGCACTGTACCCTGAGCCGGCTGTGCTGAGCTTCCCTTTCAGAGGACACCTTCATGAGGCAGGCAGAATTAAGATCTGCTTTGTCCAGAAAAGAAGATGTCCTTCTTCATTTAGGGATGAGCTGGGCCTCAGGTGCACACAAGAAACCAGGGTTAATATTCAAAATCAACTTTAACCCTATTTCACACTATGCCACCAAAAGACACCATCTTGCTGCTGTGGCCGATAGCCTGGCCAAGGGCAGCACTTAGTTAGCCATCTGGAACACTGTTCATTTCCTCACTCCATGGGCATCACGTTGTGGAGGAGTCAAATGGCTGGGGAGCCCCTGGCTGACTGCACATCTATTTACCCTCAGCACACGCCTGCTCCACACACTGCACTACGGTGCTGGCATTCACTGGCACACTGCGGGGTTTACTTTTGTGGCTTAGATGCTACGGGGAGAGCTACTGAGAGAAGCTGGCACTTGACAGGGTCTTCAGGAAAGAGATATGCGTCAGGGAGCTTCTCGGTGATAATCCACCTGCAGTGCTGCTGCGGAGCTGAGTCTCTAAAGACATGGGCTGGCGCTGGAACATTCTCCTCCCTCGCCCACTCAGCCTCCATACCCAAAGGCGCAGAGAATTGTAGGAAAAGAAAAGGCACGGTGACAACCCCAAATGCAGCTAACTCCTTTACCCTCCCTCTTGAATATTTCTTATGAGAGCAATTACTCTGGACAAACCAAGCCTTAGTTGCACCTGTTTATTTAAAAACAGGCCCCTGAGCCAGGCAGGGTGGTGTATACTTGAAATCCCAGCACTCAGGAAGTTTTGGTTTCTTTAAAAACTCAGTTATGTTATGTAAATATGTTTTCGTTTTAATCCCAAGTGTGGGATTTTAGTTTGGGCTTTAGTTTGTCCACAGCTGTTAACTGTCTTGTGCGGGGCGTGCTCTTTGCCAGCTGGTAACGGCCTGCCTCGTGGACATGGAGAGGGGCATAGTCTAGGGCTCTCAGGACATCAGTGTGGTGTGCAGTGTTGGCATGTGACAAGTGGCCTCATCCGCCTGAGCTAACAGAGCAGTCTTTGAGAGCCAAATCTGATTTTGGTTTTGTTTTTGTTTTTCCAGGAACAGCCTCAACTCCCAGGATAAAACTTAACCATGCGGAAGCCTGATAGTCAGGGCCATCCCTCACAGCCTCACATTGCCTCTGCTCACCTACTGCCCCCCCCCACCGCCTCACAGATCATTCTCTGAAACACTCTCCCTGCTGTGTGTGTCCCTCAGGAGGTCCCCAGGCTCCCCTTTCCCCAGGGGCTGCTGGCAGCCTCTTGTCTCTGCACGGCACCTATCACAGGTTTTCTCGTGTCTCCTACAAGATAGAGCGGACAGAACGCCTAACCCTAGCACCCAGCACAGTGCCTGGCACATGAGAGGGGTTCAGCAGCTGTTTGTGAAGGGTCAGGGCCTGCACATAGGGAGCTTGGCATCCACGCTAAAGAAAACAAGGCACACTAGAAAGGTTTTCTGTAGCCAAGACTGTAGGTTAAAGTGTCCAGATAAGCACAATTCCAACTCCAGAGAACAGTGCCTGTTGTTAGCCTCACCCCCATAGGCCTCACTAGACGACTTCAACAACTAGTGATGACTTGACCCTCAGTGAAATGAACACTTGACCCCCATCACTGTAATGGCCTCTGTGGCCCAGCTGGGGGTACTGAAGAGCTAAACGGCCCTAACTCTCAAGCTCAGAGATGAAGGAAGGGGCCAACATGTACCAATGTACCTGGAGAATGCAGCAGGCGTGCACCAAGGAGGGAATGCTGTAATTTCACCTCTATCCTCATTTCATTTCCCTTCAAGACAAGCTAGTTCTCTCCTCAGCCATCGTAGCCCGTACATTTACACTGAATTCCTGAAGCCTGACTAACCATTTGAATTATCCTACGAGGACCTTAAAAATGCAGGTGCTCCTAGACTTACAAAGGGGCTGAGACCCAATAAACCCTCATAAATTGAGCATATCCTAAAGTCCTTAACCTTCTGGGCTTCTAGCTTAGCAACAATAGAGGGGTAACTGAGTAGGAGATGTTGGCTGGCTGCCAGAGCAGCCCTGCATTGTGAGAAAGGCTCATAGCCTGAACAAGGCTAGTTTAGGAAAGACCAAAATTTGAAATATGTATTTTCCTGTCTGTACCAGCATATAGCTGAAGCATCATAAACAGAACCATCAGTACCGGGGCTGTCTGTGCCAGGTGTTCTAAAAAAGGGTGGAGAGCACCAGGGAGGTACAGAGAAGCCACAGCAATCTCCCTGCATCTCCCTGAAGTCACCTAGGCCAGGAAGTGACACGCAGCTCTGATTTACACAGCACATAGCTTTTTGCAAAGAGATCTTGAGAGTGACAGCCGATGTCAGTCTTATCCAGAGTGGCCGCTCTGCCCTGCCCTGTGCCCGCCCCTGGGGAGTGGTTCTCTTAAGAGTCCGGGTTCTAAGGTGAGACAGATGGGGAGATAAGATAAGCTTTACAGGGTGGCTGCCACACACCAAGCTGTGGCCCAGATGGGAACACAGATGGTGACTGTCCCCAGGCTCAGCGCTTCCAGGATGACATCACCTCTTTCAGAGGCTGTGTGGTCTCTCACTGAAGCACAGCCAGCCTTTCAGCTTTGCTTTAGGCTGCAAACTGCAGCTAGACGCTCACGCCACAGTCATCCAGTTCTCATTCACCTCCCTACCCACAGCCTTCCTGATCCTCTGGAAGGCTAAAGAGTAGGAAAATTACTATGTCCTGAAAAGAAGAGATGTCTAACAACGGTACCCAGAACACTCTGACAAAGGAAAGTGTGGGAACAACATGTTCTGATGACTTAGATGACAACAAAGCTAAAATAAATACCCCTCTGAGCTGGGCATGGTGGCATATACTTTTAACCCCAACCCCAGCACTTAGGAGGTAGAGGCAAGTGGATCTCTGTGTGCTCCAGGTTAGCTTGGTCTCTACAGTGAGCTCTAGGCCAGCCTGGGCCTATAACATAGTAGGGACCTGTCTAATGCACTCTTTGGGTAACTGTCAAACAACAACCACCCCCACACCAGGCTTTTTAATTCCTGCAGGATGAAGGAACGAGGAAACTGGGGAGCTTGGCAGGGAACTGTCTGAATGGGGCAAGCCTCGATCGCATAAAAAGGCCTGGCAGTATTAGAGGAGAGACGGGAGGGTAGAATAGATTTTTCTTAGAGAAGACCCCAAAATTCTCCTTTGATTGCCACCCCTTGGCAGCCCAGAATTCTACCCCAGGACCCAGACTGCAGGCTGCCTGGGTTAATTTCTATCCTCTGGGTTGGTCCGGGGCCTTAGTCACATGCTCTCTATGGGGAAATTTATTTTGAGCCCAATAACTGACCATAAGTAGAAGCCTAACCCACATATAATTGGGGAACAACGTGTACTATTACCTCATCTAGCCCGGCGCCTCCATATCTAACCAGATTTATGTGGCTACTGCCAAGCAGGGTGAGCCCTGCCCTTTTAGGTGTTCAATAAATGTTTACTGATGACAGTAATGACACCTTCTATCTAGGCACAGTCCTCCAGTCTTTGGCTTTTAGATCCTGTCCATGTGTTGGATCGAACACCTCCCAGCCGAGAATCCCAGGGAATGGAGGGCAAGGAGAAGAAGGACGCCGCCTCCTACCTGTTTGCTAGCTGCTGCTCGAAGTCCCCACACTGGCGCAAGAGCTCTCCACAGGTGGCAATGATCCTAAACAGAACACAGAGCACTTCAAGCTCAAGTACCACCTGGCAGGCCGGCAGCGTCTACAGGACAAACAGTCTCATTCATAAAAATTCCAACTATTTGTTCCTTCTGGTGGCACTGGGTTCTGGGAAACTGTAAACCTGTGTCTGCCTCCCCAAAACGCTTCATCAAATACAGTGACTGTCAGAAACGAGCTCCTCCTGCTGGTGTCCTTCACATCGCTACCGCCCCTGCCATTAGTCACAGTCCTACCCGACACTACCGCAAGCCGTTTTACACTTCCGAAATACGGGTTTTAAAGCTAAGAGAATAGCCTACAAGTACTCAGTGTTTAAAATTTGAAAGTGAAATGTATTTATTACTCAATACCTACTAGACAGCTACCATTTGCATAGGAAACGGTCTCCCTCTCACACATGAAAGGCAGATGATGATCAACCCATTTGCCTCTGGGATAAGCCTGAGTGACTGCCATATCTCCATTTCATAACCTTTGCATTCTGAAGTAATATTATGCCAGCCGTGGTCCTTCTACAGCAAACCCATTATGTTGGGACAGATCCAAAGATTCAAAACATCTCAAGCCTAGTTAACTTTTAACTCTCTCTGAAAGTGCCTGTCATCACCAGGGTATCTGGGCATTCCATCATGAGAAAGGTTTATGAGAAAGTAAAAATATTCCACTCGCCTCAGGTGCACCAGAGCGGCCTGTGCAGAATACCTCCTGGAGAGGGATGCAGTTAGCACCACAGTCCATAAACACAGCCCAGAACAGAGGCCATGAGACGGTGGCCCAAGAAGAGCCTGGGTGACCCTGGGCTCACCCTGGCAAACTTCACTGGCTCTCTGAGCTCTGGCATCACAACGCATACCATGATGTTACCATATGACACACACAGGAATCAGGGCCAAAGTTCAGGCAAGACATAGAAGTAGAAGAAGTGGGCCAGCAAAGGCCATTACCCTGGAATACCAATGTATAAAAAGCAGTTTTGGAAACAGAAGTTTCTCTAGACACGCCAGTCAGGGGCTTCAGCTGCCATGCATTTTCTCTGAAGATGCAGACAACTCCAAGTTGTGCCACAGCTTTGAACTTTGTAGGCAACTCAGAGTTCTGGATTGTGTTCGATTTGCTTTACATGTTGGCAACTAATCCAAAATTCTTGTAAATGCTACGAGGGTGAGTGGTGTCTGTGGGTCGTAGACTTTTCAGCTGAACACAAGACCCTCCCACGACCCTACTGATAACACTTCCCAAGGCAAGGGGTGTCTACCTGATGGCCCAAAAGTCACATGAGCTCCTCAGAGTGTAGCTGAGGGTCAACATGAGAGTCAGCTCAATGCCTGCCACTCAACTCCTTCGGGATCCTTTCTAAAGACATCCCATATGAGGAAGTGCTGTGGTTCTTAGACCCCAAGCAGGACAGGGCAGTTCAGCTGTACTGTACCAAACACAGCTGTACACTTAGCTCTGGGGATACCAAATGTAAAAGAGTTTTTCATTAAAGAAGAAAAGGAATTTGTAAATAATTTTTAAAATTTTTTCACAGGGGGTGGAGAGATGGTTCAGTGATTAAGAGCCCTTGCTGCTCTTGCAGAGGATAAAAGTCCAGTTTCCAGTGCCCATGTGGTAGCTCACAACTATTTAACTCTGATGCCCTCAGTGGATCTGATGCCCTCTTCTGGCCTCCTCTGGTACTGCATGCATATAATGCACAGTCATACACAGAGATAAAACATACACAGAAAATAAAAATAAATAAATATTTTAAAATTTAATACAATATTTTACAAGCTACAGGAATATTTTTGGTACTTTGTGGTTGGCAAGTGGTTGGGTTTTTTGTTTACTGGCTGCTTGAGTTTAGGTGCTGGCTTTAAAAAGGCAATAAGCCAGGATCACACACACCTCTGATCCCAGCAGGGGTGGGATCAGGAGGCAGTGGCAGGCCTATAGCTATGATCTAGGCCAGTTGTGTCTACATAGCAAGTTCCAGGACAGCCAGGACTATAAAAAGAGATCCTGCCTCAAAAACAAACAGACAGACAGACAAAGGCACTGAAAGAGGGAGAGAAAAAAAAAAGAAAAAACACCTCATAAATACACGTCTCTTACAGACCATTTTATGGCCAAGTTTGCTTGCTGCATTTGGTGCATACTTACACAGAAACACCTATGTTACCTGACAGAGTTCTGAAAAGCAGTCCAATCTTCCTGAAAAAGGGAGCTGGGAGGAATATCATCCAGTTTGCACTTCTTTCGAATTGACTGGAGAGCATTGGTGAAATGAGAAACATACCTGGGGGGAGGAGGAAAATGACAGCTGAGGACAGCTGGGATGCCACAGCTGTGGACAAACTACAGGCCTTTTGAGTATCCTTCAAGGCTTCTGTCACGGAGGAAGAGCACTTAGGAACCTCTGACTAAACTCTCCAAGCCGTTTAGTAAGGGTCAGGGCAGCTTCAAGGGATGCTTGGGAGGAGGAGGGAGGGGACGGCCACCAGGTGGGGTCCACCGGCCAACCAGGTAAGAGATGCTAAATGACCCCTCATCCCAGCACAGGAGCCTCTTCAGAAACAGAGCACACAGCCACACTGCGTGCTGTGTAATGCGGTCACTGGCATCCAGGGTACTAGTCATGGCAAGAAGATTTTTAAAGCTCAGTGGTAGGAAGCACAGGAGCGCAGTTAGACTCCAGGTGGGGACCCCCCAGGCGGCTCTGGTGGCGCTCACAGCACACACTGCCTCCCTCACCGCGCTTCCACGATGGGACTAAACGGCTTACTTAGTGTTTGTTCTATCAGCTCTACAGAACAGGGTCTAGCTCATTGCTACATCGCCAGCAACCAGCTATGGTCCAGGCAGAAGGAGAGGCTGGGAACAGTTCCCAGATGAGTGACACTCATGCACTACAGCTCTGGGCAGGTACCTCAGTATATTTAGACCTCAGTTTTCCCATCTCTAAAATGGATTTAATGATGTCTTCTGTATCACCTTACAAATAAAATAGTATAAATTCTCTGAAAAGCATGAGATGAAAGCTCCTGGTAAGGCACGTTTTTAAGGATGTCAATTTCTTCCCTATATCCTCAGGAAGAGGACAGAGGGGGGCTGTGTCCTCTGGAAGTCAAGAATGTTTACAGCATCTGTACATCACAAAAGATCTAACCTCCCTCCCTTCCTAAACCAACAGCCCTCAGAGAACAGCAGAATGTGGTACCCGGGCCTGACAAGGAAACTGTGTATCGAAGAGAAAGGGCATTCATTCACTTTGAGAGTGGAAGAGCTGACCCAGAGACACCACAACCTGCAAACACTGCACAACCACTCAACCCCCTTTACAAATACCTCCCAGGCTTAGCTGGGAAAGATGGGAGACCACAATTCCACAGAGAGCGAAGGCCTCAGGAGCAAACTGCAGTAAAAATTAGGGACATAACCGCTTCAGTTGAGAGAAATTAAACAGTCAGCAGCCAGCAACTATGACAAATGTGCCAAGAACAGGCTACAGTTTCCATGGCAGCTCCTGGGATGCTGAGTAGGCAGGAAATTAATATATATTAATATATACAATATTCTTTAATGCCCTTTCATAACATAGAGCTTCAGGTGTTCAGGTGTCTAGCACTAGAGTTTCTCACTGTTAGGGACATCAACAATAGTTCCTTAATAATCACTGCTTCAGTTTACTCACAGCAAAGACACCGAAACTCAGAGAAGAGCAGCGGCCAGCACACAATCCTGGCTCCTAGGTGCCAGGAGGCTGAGCGCTGGTTGACCCAGCTCCAGCACCCATGCTGCCATGGCTGGGAAGCCACTTTTCCATGGTCTCATTATGGGCTGCAGTAGCATGCAGGGTCAGGGCTCAAGTCAGGCCATTCATTCTGCCCCATCCTCCCAACCCCGCCCCAAGCCCTCCTCTCCCCTGACAGCAGGAGCTCATCCACCTGAACCCTGATAAAATTAGCTTCCACTCTATTTAAAAACTCAGCGATATTGGTAATATCCAAATTCTAGAGACAGTGACCTCATTGCCTCACATACTTTTGTAGACAGTAAATTTAAGGCAAATATGAATTATTTTGAAATCATAAAAACAACAGAAGAAAAGAAAATCTGATCACTGCTCAGAGGGATAAGGACTAGAGAAAGAAAATCCCCTAAAAGCTCAAGACCTCATTTTCATGGCAGAGGGGTGACAGATAATATTTTAAAAGCTGACAAGGTCTTACGTATTTGCCAAGAATTAGAAAACCCAAAACAAGTGTTCTAACATGCTACTTTTGTGAAAAGGACTGAAAGCTGATAGAATGGGGGCATATTTTTATATTTTGTACATTTTATATATATTTGGGGAGAACTATGTCTAAAAGCATTGTTTCTATTATCTTACAGAATAGATCTTAGAAAGTAAATAAATAAACTTTCCACCCAGAAAATCCTGATGGTGGTCAGACAAAAGAGAGGTTAAAAAAAAAAAAAAAAAGGAGGCAGGTTGGGAGCACCTGGAACCTTGGCTCAGTGATTAAGAGCACTGGCTGCTCTTGAGAGGACCTGGGTTCTGTTCCTCGAACCTATGAGGCAGCTCACAACCATCTGTGACTCCAGTTCCAGGGATGCAGTGTTGCCCTCTGACCTCCACAGATATCAGACAAGCACATGGTGCTCAAACATGCAGGCACAACATTCACACACACAATAAAATCTGAAAGATAAAATAAGTAAGCAAACACTACGCTTACCAAGAGTGCTTCTCTCTTTTCAGAAGCACACCTGCGTTCCTTTGACAAATCTCTAACCCTTGCGGCCTTACCAGAGCTGCCCAGGGCGGGGCACAGGCTGTGGCCACAGCTAGAAACACTGGGCTCACAGGGGCGAGCCTGGTATTTCTGGAATGACAAGAGCTCCCTAATAGGCTAAGCAAAACAGTGTTCAGTTCAGTAAAGAAGTCTGGAGACGCAGGGCAGCTTCATGGAGGAGTGAATTACGACAGGGAGGCCTTGGAGAACATAACAGTGTCCCTGCAGCTCACCGAGTTCTCAGCTGCTGAGAGAGCTAATCACTTTTCTCCCCACACCCCCAAGTATTGTGCATAGCACCTTCCAGCACTATGAAAGCGCTCCAGCGGGGTTGAAAGTTCCCCGCTGGAACCGGCTTGGTTTCTCCATGTCCTATGACTCAAATATGTGGTGTTTTCAGAAGCAGGGTCTTACTACCAACAAAACTGTAACCAAGAGCAATGGTAACAATCTGTATTGTTTGGAGGAGTCTATGGGACTCCACTGACAAATAACTCAAAATAACTGCAATCCATACCTAACAGGTTTTTTTTTTTTTTTAGATCTGATAGCGTATGGTGTCTAGAACAAGATGTGCCCACTTATGTAATAGTTGAATGAATATTACGGGAGCAACCAGCCACTTTCTAAGTGGACTTAAGAGCTGATCAACAAGATGATACTCATGTACCGCCTTGTACTGTTACCACAGGCAAAAATCTGTGGCTGGCTAGGTCACAGGTCAATTAAATGGACAGAGTAATAAACTGTCCCCTAAATTATCATCTTTATGTCCATAGTGCATCTCTCAATCCTCATCAGAGAAACTTCTTTCTACTGTAGATGGAAATTAGTACAGACACTAGCCAATCAATGTGTACAGAATAAGAGACTGTGGGATGCTCAGCTCTAAATGAACAGATATCATACCCCCAACCCAAGACCCAGGGATCATCAGGGAGGAGGAGATGGAAAGACTGTAAGAGACAGAGGGAGTGGGCGTCTGTAGAGAAACAGCCTGTGCTGGGCGCGACAGCACCATTGCACACGTGGACTTAGGGGTGCTGTGTGAACTGCATGCATGACACCTGCCAACATCCAAGCACCGCGGGGGGAGCGGCCGTGAAGTGCTGCCCCTAGCTGAGGAGCTGATGACAGCTGATGGCTGGGGGGGGGGGGGGGGGGGGGGGGCCGGTTTTTTGCGGGGGGGGGGGGGGGGGGGGGGGGGAAGAGCCAGTTTTCTTCAGAGGTGCAGCCGAGACGTTACCCATCTGTCAGTAAATGGCCCAACATGCATGCATATACTGGCAGTCCTAAGTCAGACCCTGAATATAAAACAAAAAAACGAGAACATGGGCAGGAAAGTGGTGGGGGAGAGAGGGAAGGAATCGAGGACACAGAAATGGGGACAGGTCTGATCAAAAGACTGGAGCATGTCTACTCCCATGGGTCAGAGGACCCAGCCTCATACGTCTTCCTCATTCTTCTGACAAAATGTAATTAAACTTCCCCCCTTTTTTTTTCTTTCAGTAACAAGTGTTTGGTTTTACTTTTGGGGTACTGGGTACTTAACCCAATTATGCAAATCACACCCTGCCTCGGATGACTCCTTGACCCCTTCAGTAACAGTCACCTCCATCTCCCCCAGATTCTCCCAGGTAACCAGGAACCTGCTCTGGGTTTCTCTATAGCCTTGTCTGTTTGGGGCATTTCAGACAGATGGATGGTGTTTCATAAGTAGCTATTTATAAGTAGGCTATTTATGTCACTTTGTAATTTTACTTTAAAATTTTTACTAATTTATTTGTTTGTGTGTGTGTACTTGTGTATGTGTGTTTATGTCTTTGTTTTTTGAGACAGGGTCTCTCCACATAGCCCTGACTGTCCTCAATCTATGTCAATCTGACTGGCCTCAAACGCGCAGATATCTGCCAGCCTCTGCCTCTGTGCTGAGATTAAAATCGTTTGACACCACACACAGCTCACCTGATATTCTAAATTATATATTTAGTCACAACCTAAAGGATGGACATATTGATAACTTCCAGAGCTCCACCTATGCAAATGATGTTCCACGGCACATCCTTAAGGATATCCTCTTGGGCTCAGGTCCAGGTGTTTCCCAAGGGTTCACAGCAGGAACACAGAACACACTCTTCATTGGAACAGACAGGACCCTCCAATGTGCCCCCCCGCCCCACCCACCTCCCTCAGTCTTACTTGGCAAAGAGGGATTTCAGGGCTGTCAGCAGTCCACAGGTCCCCAGGCCATTGGTGAATCTGGCACATCTGTCAACAGCTGCAGAAGCCAGGCCAAAAAGCTTGTGCACAGAGTGGCTCAGCTCCTGAACGCAGTCAATCACTTCCCCATGCTCCTGGACAGGAGATACAGATTAGCAAAAGCTTCATCAGACTCGAGAATGCTGGTGTGGATAGCATTAACATAGGGGACTCACATTTACACATTTACAAAGGAAGAGTGGCAAGGCCATCCATCTTCAGCCAAACCACCTAAGAAACCAAATATACTGTACTCAACTATAATGGTTCTTCAAGAACCTGGGCCAGGGACAGACAGACAGACAGACATACACACACCACCACCACCACCACCACCACCACCACCACAGAAATTAACTCCTGGCAGAAAAAATATAACCAAAAGTTTAGCTCATTGTGGTGGTCTGAATAGGTGGCCCTGTTTGAATACTTGGCCCATAGAGTGACACTATTAGGAGGTGTAATTGTTGGAGTAGGTGTGGCCTTGTTGGAGGAAATGCATCAGTGTGGGGGTGGGCTTTGAGGTTTTATATGCTCAAGCTTCGACCAGTGGTGGCAAACAGTTGCTTCTGCTGCCAGGGGATCAATATGAAGAGCTCTCAGCTCCTTCTCCAGGACCATGCCTGTCTGCACACTGCCATGCTTCCTGCCATGAAAATAATGAACTAAACTTCTGAACTGTAAGCCAGCCTCAATTAAATGTTTTCTTTATAAGAGCTGCTGTGGCTACAGTGTCTCTTCACAGCAATAAAACCCTAACTAAGACACTCATCTTCATATTCTTTATTTCTTTCCTCTTTTTCTCTGATTACTAAAATGGCACTTCTTCTGACAGTCCTACAGCTAGGATAAGTTTCCCTGGATCAGACACTCCAAAGGAGTGCAACAGAGAGAAAACATCTCCATCAGGGCAAGAATAGAACTGAGGCAGAGAAGTTCCTAGGTAGGTCCCTAGAGGTGGCAGATATCAACTACTGTTCATAGGAGCTCACCTCATGCTGGGCACCTCAAACCAACCAGAGAACAAACACTATCTAATATAGAGAAGGCCTTGATCCCTGGGTGTACACACAGGGTACCTGCTCCGAAACCCTTAAAGTGAAAGACCAACATAAAACAAAATCACTGAGTTAAAGAGACAGATTTAAGATTTAAGTCTCTCTAGTTTGTTTTGCTTTGCTTTATCTTTTAACTGGTGACTTGAAATAAAAATGGAAGCACATTGGTAGCTTCATTTTACATTTGGACTGCAAGAGGAAAACTGAGGCATTTTTAAAGCCAGCCAGCCTGCCTTCTTCCTTTCCTCATCTCTTCTCTTTAATGTATACTTGATCATACCCCAACCCTCTGCTATACACAGCCAAGAGCCCAGCACACAGAATACTTGGTGAACAGCTAGCAGCCATACTACAGTGTTAACAGACATTACCAGAGGCACAGCGCTGATCTGTATGAGAAGGTTGCTCTCCTCCATGTCTCCATACTTTAGCTGGTAGGGTTTATATGGACCATACACAGCATCCACCAGCTCCACAACTTTCACCAGGTTGTGGTCCTCTGTAGGAACAAGAAATTAAAATAATAATAGTCAAATAATCTGAAACTGGCTGCTGCAAAACAACAAGAAAAAGGTACTCCGCTGGAACATTCCCTGCTCTGTCTATTTGCACTGATCTGCTCTTCTGAGCCATAGAGGCCTCTATGATCCCCACAGCAAAAATCTGGCTTTGTGTGTTGTTACAGGTGGTACCACAGACACCAGGCCCCTAGCACTCTCATACCCATCACAGTGGGAACCCAGATTCAGGTGAAAGCTCCTGGGTCTGGGAGTGGTGATGTACTGTACACTGGAGATGACAGGGGGAGGCATTCCAGATCATCCTCTGCAGCACAGGGGGTTGGAGGCCAGCCTTGCCTACATGAGATTCTGTCAAATACACACACACACACACACACACACACACACACACACACACACACACCCCAACAGGGGCTGGAGACACGGTTCAGAAGTTAAAACCATGTTCTGCTTTTCAGAGGACCTGAGTTTGGTCCCCAGGACCCAAATGAGGTGGCTCATAGTCACCCAGCTCCAAGGAGATCCGATTCCTCTGGCCTCCATGGGCACCTGTACTCACGTGCACATAACCACACACATACACATAATTTAAAATAATAAAAACAAATCTTAAAAACAAACAGCACTTATCAGGAGCAAGTGAAGTGGCTCAAAGCAAAAAAAAAAAAAAAAAAAAAAAAAAACAAAAAGCAACAAAGAAAAATGAGGAAAAAAAAAAAAAAAAAAAAAAAAAAAAAGAGGAACTTGCTGCCAGGCCTAATGACCTGAATGTCATTCCTTGGGACCCACATGGTAGAAGAGAATCAACTCCCATAATTGTTCTATGACCTCTACATATGTGTCATGGCACATGCATGCTCACATGTATGCATGCTAGGTAAACAAACAGTGAAAATACAATAAAATAAAACCCACATTGGACAGGGTCAAGAAGTGGCTAGAGGGCTGGAGAGATGGCTCAGAGGTTAAGAGCAGTGACTGCTCTTTCAGAGGACCCGAGTTCAATTCCCAGCACCCACATGGCAGCTCACAACTGTCTGTAATAACTCCTCATACAGACATACACACAGTCAAACACCGATGTACATTAAAAAAAAAAAGAAGTGGCTAGAGACAAGGGATTCTTGTAGGAGTGCTCCCCCTCCTCTGCAGCATTCCTGAGAGGGGCTCTGCACAGGGCTGGGAAAAATTGTGTGTCCACATGTAGAAGGATGAAATTGGACACGTCTCTCACCCTACACAGAAATTAGATCCAAGAGGATTGAAGATCTCAATTTGAAATCTGAAACACTGAAGCTGCCATAAGAAAATATATGCAGTGCAGGAAAGGACTTTGAAAGGACTCTGAAAAGGGTTCCACTTACCTAGGACTGAAGGGTAACAATTGACAAACGTGACCTTATAAAACTAAAAAGCTTCTGTACAGCTAGCAGGTAAGCAATCAAGTGAAGAAGAAACCTACAGAATGGGAGAGAATTTTTGCCAACTATACATCTGACAGAGAAGATTAATATCCAGAATATAAAAATAAAAATAAAAAAACAAAGAGCCAATAAAACATGCAGGCTTAGTGGTGGATGTCTGTAATCCCAACACTTGGGAGTCAGAGACAGGCGAATTGCTGTGAGTTCGAGGCCAGCCTGGTCTACATAGTGGGTTCCAGAACAACCAGAGCTATACAGAGAAACCCTGTTCTGAAAACAAACAAAAAAAGTATGTATTTTCTTAGCAATTATGGAAATGCAAATAAAATAACTTTGATATTTCATTTCACCCCAGTCAGAATGGCTAAGATCAACTGACAAGGCTGTGGAGATGGAGACCCCTCATTGTCTACTAGTGAGAATGCAAATTGATAAAACCATTCTGGAAATCAGTATGGAGAAGCCTCAAAAAACTAAAAATGAATCTCTATGACTCGGCTATACCACTGCTGGGCACATGCCCAAAAGACTTGACATTCTACTTGCTCAGCCATGTTCATTGCTGCTCTGTTCACAATAGCCAGAAAATGGAAACAACCTAAATGTCCTTCAGCTGATGAATGGATAATGAAAATGTGGTAGAATGGGATGCTATTCAAATGTAAAGAAAAAAATAAAAATTTCAGATAAATGGGTGGCCCTAAGCAGATTATATTGAGTGAGGTAACCCAGCCCCAGAGAGACAAACACTTCATGCTCTTTCTCATCTTCGGTTCCTAGTGTCTTCAGATGTGAGTATACAATGTGGAGTAACCACAGAAACCAGCTAAGTGTAGCTACTGCCCCTCATCAAAGAAGCCGCTCTTTCCGGCAGAGGGAGACAACCCCAACTGGACGTGATGGTGAGATCAACAGATCGTGGGGGGCCAAGCCCCGGACATATCTACACCACAGCTCCTACAGCCATGGCTCAGGGAATACCATGAAAGGGGAAGTGGAAAGATTGCAAGCATCAGAACGCCATAAGTGGGCTGTGAGACTACCTACCTAGTAATAGCTGTGTAAACAAGACTGGAACAATGACAGCATCTAAACAGACATGCTAACATGGAAGGGGCAAACTGTCGTGGGGTCGCAGCCCTAGAGAGGGAATTATAGCAATTAATGACTGCTGGAAGAAGGAGAATAAGCCCCTCCCAAGGATGAACCCCCTTATTAGTTACAAAGTGGTCATCCCTGCGACCATAAACATATAAACAGAAAAGGACTCCACTGGTTGTGAGTACGTCTCTGTGTGTGTGTGTGTGTGTGTGTGTGTGTGTGTGTGTGTGTGTGTGTTGGTAACAATAATAATAAAAGAAGAGGCTATCAATTTGAGAGTGGAGGGCATGAAAGAAGTTAGAAGGAGCACTTCTGGGAGGGACAGAGGGAGAAAGTGATGTAATTCTATTTAAATTTAATGTGTATATATTAAAATATATTTATATATTTTTAAAATGAGGCAACATGAAGGAGCAACCACAAATCAAATGTGAAACAGCTCAGATATCAAAATGAGGAGCAGCAGTAAATTATATCACATTAAACTTTATAAAAGAATCCTAGAGATAATCTGTATTACAGAGACAGAAAGCATTGAGTACTATGGTACACCCCTAGTCCCAGCACTTGAAGGTCAATGCTGAAAGATCCCAAATTCAAAGCCAGCCTGGACTACAGACTAAGAGCCTGTGAGACAGAGGAAAAGGAAAGGAAAAGAGAACAAGGGAGAAAAAGAGAGAGGGAAGGAGAAAGGAGGAAAGGCAAGCAGGCTGCTGTTGCTGCTGCCTTATTCTTTCAGGCAGGGTCTCATGTATTCCACACTGTCCTCAAACATGCTTTGTAGCTGAAGATTACATTGAATTCCTGATCCTCTTGCCTCTACCTCCAAAGTCCTGGGATTACAGGTCTGCCCCAACATGGCCAGTTTATGTGGTGCTGGGGTTCAAAGTCAAGGTTCATGTACACTAAGCAATCGGTCTTTCACATGAGTTCCATCCTCTGCCTTACCCCACGCCACTTCTTCATAGCAGAAGACCAGCCAGGAAAGGTAGAAGGAATGACAGAATTAGGAAATCATCCCTTTGTAATCAGCAGTGTAAGAGTTTATTCAGACAGGCAATCAGTGGATGTCTAAGTTACTGGATGGACAGCTTCCTAGGCAGCAGCATATCCCCATGAGCTCAGAATATCAACCCACAGGTTACTGCAGGGAACAATGGAGTGCTGGCAGCTTGGTGCACCCGGTGCTTAATCTAGCCTGCCGCAGCTACTGGACACTGCGGGCCCTGCTGTGATGCAACAGGGTTCTCATGGCCCCATCCGTGTATGCTCGATGTCAAACTGTCTGATACAAAGCTGACAGTGAGAGGCAAAGAGGCGTTCTAGGGTCTGAGAATTCTACAAGAAAGCTGTCTTCTTCAAGGATGTTGGTGTCATATAAAGACAAAGATAAAATGACTGCTGGACTAGGAAAGTACAGAGGTCCACCAAGGGCAATGAACATACAGTAAACTGGCTCTCAGAGAAGGGCAAAGGAGAAAGAAGCTAGAAAGACCTCTGCCCGGCTGGCAAAATCTGGATATAAGCTATATATTCCAGATATTAAATGCATCAGTATGATAATGGTAACAAAACATTCTATTATAAACATATATAAAAGCTGGGCATGGTGGCGCATATCTGTTTTCACAGTGCCTGAGGAGGGTCAGGGAGAGTTCACGGCCACCCTCAGCCACATGGTGAGTTAAAGGCCAGCCTGGACTAAATGAGACCTTGTCTCAAAAAGCTAAAAACAATACAAACTTACGTATACAACAATACAATACAAATTTATATACACAAACACGTCTGTACACAAAAATGCTATTCCTAGTTAGAAAGCTGAAGATGGCTGTTTTCTTGTATTGTCAAGATTCTGTGTAATAAACATATATGGCATAGTGATCATGAAGTCAACCTAAGAGCTCAGTGGTAATTACCACTGCTCTTTCAGAGGACCTAGATTCGGTTCCCAGCACCTACATGGTGGCTCACAACCACCCGTAATTCTGTAGTTCCAAGGCACCCAGCACCCTCTCCTGTCCACTATAGGCACCAGGCACATACACGGTGCATATACACATAACACACCCACACACATCAAAAACTAAAAATGAGAAAAAAAAGCATGGACCCAAATTGCTTTTTAAACTTGCTTTCTATTGTATACTCTTTCATATGTTTTAAATTGTATCATGTTTATGTATTAACTATTAAATAACAAAAAACTTAAAAGTTACAAATATATATGTAACACGTCTGATAAATAATAGGGAAAAGCACACTACATAAGAATCTTTTAGAGCTGGACGCAGTGGCACACGCCTGTAATCCCAGCACCAGGGGAGGCAGAGGCAGGTGGCTCTCTGTAAATTCAAGCCCAGCCTGCTCTACAAAACAAATCCAGGACAGCCAAGGCTACACAGAGAAGCCCTATCATTGGGGGGGGGGGGAGAATCTTTTAGGAACACATGCTAAATTTCTAACAGAGGCATTAGAGGAAACTAACTTTCTTTTGTGTTATAGATTCTTTGTCAGGAACTTTTGTAACACATATTTTTATTAATGTACTCAATAATGCATTGCTTTAAATGAACTGCTCTTAAAAATTAATGAGAAATTTATTAAATCTCCGAACAGATGAATAGCAAAGAATAAGTAATCAAGAGAAAAAATATGCAACTTTTATAATGTAATTTTCAAATATTAACAACCTAAGTAAAAAATTTAAAGTGAGACATCATTAATTATCTAAGACCCGGGCAATGATGGAAGGAAGAAGGACACAGTGCTGGGGAGGACCGGGGTGGGGTGGAGAGGGGCATGGTGTACCATTCACCCGAGGCACAGCAGAAGGCACAGTGTGGCTGCAATGCTGCGCTCACCCTGGGACCTCAGGGTTGGGTCAGAAACTCTCCAGACAGTGTGTAAGGGTTTTACTTAAAAGTGGCTAAAAAGTGTGCCATGGGGTTGGGCACACTGGTACACGCCTCTAATCCCAGAATTCAAGAGGCAAATGCAGGAGGATTTCTGTGAGTTTGAGGCCAGCCTGTTCTACATAGTGAGTTCCAGGACAGCCAGCGCTATATAGAGACCCTGTCTCAAAACAAACAAACAAACAAACAAACATGCAAAAAGTATGTCATAGTGATGAAGCAGTCATTAGAAGCCATGTTTTAGGGTAACAAGAACCTAAGGAAATACTCATTCTATTATCCTTCTTTAAATGTGCACCTGTGCACACGTGTGGAGGCCAGAGGGCAGTACTGGTGTCACCCTCAGGAAGGTCGTCTACCTCCTTTGAGGCAGGGTCTCTCACTGGCCTGGAGCTCACCAATTAGGCTACACAAGCTGCCCAGTGGGCTCAGGAAGCCTCCTGTCTGTCTTCCCAGTACTAGAGTTAACAGCACGAGCTTTTTAACATGGGTGCTGCAGCTGAACTCAGATCCTCGTTCAGCTCAGAGGCAGGCGCTCTGCCAACTGAGCGCCTCCCAGCCCCCAACATGCTATGTCAAAGCTTAAAAAAAACTACGTAAAATTATATACCACTAATATTTTAAGATTATTGTGCCAGGCATGGTGGTTCACGCCGTTAGTCTCAACACCTGTGAAGCAGTCAAGTGACTCTTTGTGAGTTTGAGGCCAGCCTGATCTACACAGTGAGTTCCAAACAGGCCGGCCAGGGCTAGATACTGAAACCCTGCCTCAATAAACAAGTAAATAAAATATTTATATACTATGTGCATTATTATAGTATAGCATATATGCATGTGATATATAGTGCATAAAATATGTTTCATGCAATAATATAATAGTTATACATTATATAGTACAGTATATGTTAAATATTTACAAAGTATGTTAAATATATTTAATATTAGTATATATTAAATATTTATATTAATGTTTGCAAACAGTATATATTTATTTATTTGTTGAAGCAAGTTGGAGTTTTTTTAAGATAGGATCTCACTACTTAGCTCAGGCTGATTTTGAACTTACTTTGTAGCCCAGTGGCCTCAAACTCACAATCTTCCTGCTCCAGCCTTCCAAGGAGCAAGAATTACAGGCATATGCCAGCATGCCCAGCAAAGTGTGCATTTATTTACATATGAACTGCTGGAAGGAATACAACAGAATGCCACAGTACCATTTCTTAATGATGAAGTTATAGATCATTTTCATGTTCCTTTTTTTGTTATTAGGGTTGTTTTGTTTTGTATTGTTTTTTTGAGAGACAGTTTCTCTGTGTAGCCCTGGCTGTCCTGAAACTCACTCTATAGACCAGGCCATCTTCAGGCACAAAGATCCTCCTGCTTCTGCCTCCAGAGTGCTGGGATTAAAGGCATGCACCACCACATCCATCTTTCCAAAAATATTTTTGGCTTAAAACAATACAAAGAACGGTTTGAAGGCCTCAGTTGGAATTACCAGGAATCTAAGCTTTCCCAATGACTTCAAAGGGTGGAGCTGAAGTCTTTAAGAAAGTCCACCGTGGGGAGGAGTGCAACCTGCTCCCTGTCCTACATTGGCCAGCCTGCTCCAGCACGGTGCCCAGTCTCAGCATTCTTTAGCCACCCGGGCCCGGGCATCACAATTCTTGGGAAACTACCCACATGACTGTGTGTCTCCCACAAGTGAGGCCTGACTAGTGAGTGTGCCACAACACCTATGAATCATCAGGAACTTGAACAATAAACACACTCCCTGGAATGTACAGGCAATTAAACACAATGTAATTAAAGAGAATAACTATTAAATAAATGAAGTCTGTGACACACAGCAGCCACATGGCAGAATGAGGCCTTCTTGAAGCAATTTCCTGATTTGACAGCAGGATGCGTCACAAAGTCTATGTTCCTTAAAAGTTTGTGATGCTTTTCATACAGGTGGAAAACGGCTGGAAAGCTTGGCATCCCACAAGCTATGTGCCCAGGTGGGATAAGCCGTACTCTGCTCGCAACTGGCTGCCAGGATTCCCTGCCTTCCCCACAGTCACAGCGCCTGTGCAGCTGCTGCTGCCCTTCAAAGCCCCCCTCTCCAGCCTTTGTGTTCTCCTAAACTTACGCTTTAGGTTGAACTGTCTGAAGTTTTGACTTAAAAGGAAGAGGATCCACCCACTGAAACTTGCTGCCAGCTCACTGGCGCTCACGCCTCCCTGTTTCACATTTAGCCTGCTTTACACTCTCAGGCATCGCAGGAGTGTCCATCACTTCCAATACAAGAAGCTCCTGGTCAGCCCTGGGGCCGGGAGGGTACAGTGACCCATGCTTCCATGCTGGCACTATTTTCATAGGAAAGCTTTCTCCCGAGTGGAGAAACACCGGCCCCTTTTCCTTCCATATAGTTACCAGAGACAGTAAACAAACCCAGGCCCCCAAACAGAGGAGAGGGCAGCCAGAGAGCAGGAAGTAGGGATGCTTACGGAGGTGGGGGAGCAATGCCATCTCCAGCCCCTTGGCAAAGTGGGCGGTAGTATCGTAAAACTCCAGCAGTCTGATGAGCTCGAGCTCGGGTCCTGCTCTCTCCACACCTGCAGTGAGGCACATGGGCAGGGAAGGCACCAAGGCCCCCAGGGTCTGAATCAGCAGCACCGTCACCACCTCGTGGGGGTTCTTGAAAACCTGCAGTGGGGGAGAGGCAAGCCCATTAGTGCACGGGAGCATAGAGGAAGGAGCATGTCTAACGCTGGTCCACATGCTTACTTACTCCAGCTTACCAATGCCTGGAAGAGTACTGAGATGGTCATCAGCAAGAACCCAGGTGACAACGGAGAGACAGGAAGGATGCGCAGGAGCGAAATGCAATGAGAGAGCAACACTGACTATAGCTAGACAGCCACACTCACCCCAGAGCCTGGCCTGAAGTCGCTTTTCTTCTCTACACAGATCTGGGGCCCACATGCATTCTCTTAAGGCAAAACAGACGGTGGACCTGGATAGTTCAGATGGCTCACTTCTCTGGTGGTCTTTTTCCACTCTCTGTTCCCTAGGTCTCTTGAAAAAACCTGAATGATGTACCAGGTCCACTTAGGAAATATTCTCACCCTCCTGTGCTGACTAGCACTTTTCTGACAGGTGCAAACACGAGATGAGATATAAGAACTAGCGTTAGGAGAAGCCAAAGGCCAAAAAAGATACAAATAGAAAACGACGCAGCCAAGAAAATCAAGTTTATTCAAAGTTACCTTAATAGAAATGGAATTAAAATAGAGCATGACAAAACCTACAGGACACAGCAAAAACAGATCAGGAAGGAGAATTCACAGCTATAAATGCAAACAATAAATGTCTCGCCTCAACGACCTAACTGCATGCATTAAAGAACTACAGGGTAGGGCTGCAGCTCGGAGGGACAGTTCTTGCCTATCAACCGCGCACGGGTCCAGTCCCCAACACCACAAGCAAATCAGAAGTTCAAAGCCATCCTTAGCAACACCAAAAAGTGAGGCCAGCCTGGGCTACATGAACTGGACCTAAAAAACAAGAACCAGAACTAGAAAATGAGGAAACTAAACTTAACGTAAGAGATTTCTGAGGTTTTTAAAGCAGAGGTAAAGAGAAAACTGACACAAAGAATCAACAGCAGAAGCTGGATTTTTGTAGAAAGTTCTAAAATTGAAAGCCTGTACCTAAAGTAGAGAACCAGGACAGAGTATTCAAGTTACTAGAATCAGCAAAGTAGGAACACCAGCACTGAGTCTATAAAGACAGGAAGCAAGGTAAATTGTAAAGGGACAACCATGAACAACTACATGCCAGCGGCCTGAACACGTGGACGCAGTGCTAGAGCCACAATCTACCAAAACCGGCTCCACAGGAGGAAGAAACTCCAAATAGACCTGAAGTTGGCCAGGATCATGAATCAGTGGTCAAAAATGCTCAGACAGCTGGTAGGCGATCCATGTGTGCATATCCAGGTCTGCAATCCCAGCACAGTGGAGGCAGGAAGAGCAGGAGTTCAAGGATAGCCTAGAATACAGGAGAGCCTGTCTCAAATAAAGATACAAATAAAGATCAGAACTGATGGCTCTTCGTTGGTGAACTCTACAAGACAAAGGAGTTACACCAATCCTTCCAAGACACAGAAACACTGGAGGAGCACCTCACAGTTCTGAACTGTGGCTCCCTAAAATCCCATGCTAAAGTCTGAGCCACCCAGTACCTTAAATCTGACTCTATGTGGAGGCAGCCCTTTGAAGAGGCAGTGAAGGTACAATGGTACCATACGGGCTGGCTCTGACTCTACATGCCAGGTGTGTGCTCATGAGAACACTTCGAATACTAAGCACACCTGGGAGGGAGATTCAGAGGGAAGATACTTCTACAGGTCAAGAAGAAAAGACTCTAGCCCTGAGCACACCTGGATCTAGAGCTTCTAGCATACAGAATTTTGAGAATATTACTGTTGTTTAAACTAGATAGTTTAAATTACCCAGGCTAGGGATGGCAGTTAAGGCATTGGTTGCTCTTCCAGACAACCCAGGTTAATTCCCAGCACTCACATGACAGCTCAGAACCCTCTGAAACTACAGTCCAGAGGACCCAACATCCTCTTCTGGCCTCTGCAGGCATTGTGTGCACACGAGACATATACAGTACACATGCCGACAAAACACTCATACACAGAAAAGAAAAATAAAGTCTCAAGAAAATTCTGAACTATCCAGTCAAGGGATTCCGCTGTGGCATCAACCAGCAGACTAATACAGAACCCTTCCTAGTTCCATTCTGTGCAGCCAGCATTACAACAGCACTGGCGAAAGGCAAGAAAAGAAGGCCAAGAGCATTTGACAGGAACAGTGGCATTCTAACAATGAAGGTGCTCAGAAATTGGGTGTCCTCTTATGAGAAGAAAGGGGAGGAAGAGGGGAGGAAAAAGAAATTACGAGTCAACTCAGAATGACTCAAAGACCACAGCTCATAAGGTAGTGGTACAGATGTTCCAAAATATGCTCATTTCGTGACTACTCCAAGAAGTTACAAAGCTTCAGTGGGCTTTTGTCTGACTTCATGAATCCTGTTTTATACACTCTGCTTAGAGCTGCCCTGTGGGAGTCTGAGAGAAAGAAATAGAGGGAGAACCACACAAGGGCAACAGGTAACTACAGGGCTACAAGGCTATCCCACTCTATCTCGTACGGCCTGAGTGTGCCTTCCAACCATCTGTCTTGCTAATCACTCTCACTTGGAACTTAGAAGCACCCAGAGCTAGTGGCATGGCTCAGTGGGTGAAGGTACTCATCTTGAAAACCTGATGACCAGAGTTCCATCCCAAGGCCCACAATAAAGAGAGACTCCACGAAGCTGTCCTCTGACTGCTACACAAAAATAAAGGCATATTTCAAAGCATTACAAACAGAAACTCATTATTTCCAACTGACCCGAGACCCATTGCCCTTACCTTCCCTGTTTCAGTCAGTACTCTCCCACTAACCCAGGATGGAGTCTCCCTTCTGCGTTTCCTTTCTTCCAGTTACTAACAGTTGCTACGGCACTCCTTAGAACAGATCCTAACAACTGCTCATTCTTTTTGAATGTTTTTTTTTGTTTTGTTTTGTTTTTTTCCCAAGCTGGTCTGGAACTCATTATACATGAATCTCCTGCCTCGGCCTCCCGAGACCTGGGCTTGTGTGCATAAGCTGCCATGCCCAGCTCTTCTTGGCTGTTACCATCACCACCCTGTACCAGGCAATGGTGTTTATCTTATCATCAATTCACTGTCCACATAAGTACTAGATTCATTAATCTTACGTGCTGCTTTACATTTTTACTTAAGGAGCTATGGCATTACTTCCATTGTAAAGTGTCTATTCCAAACATAAGCCCTTTATCATCTGTTTTATAGACTTCTTCCTCTAATCTTTGGCCTCAGCTGAGGTTCTGTATGATGAAACGTAATCTATCCATGCTCTTAGCATTCTGTGCCTGTCTGTGTTAAGGTTACCGCTTCCATGACTAAGAAATCGGCCTCAATTCTGAAACTGTGTTTGAATTTTCGTTGTTTTGTGGCAAATGGCCAGAGAATCCCCTTTGTCCGGTCAGTCCAAGGAAAGAGAAAACTGAGCATAAGGGACCCAGTATGTTCTGACTGAAGCATGCATTTGCAAAATGCCACCAGAGGTCCGGAAAATTAATTCGTATACAGACTAACAAATAGACTTCCCTGGAATAAAGCCATTTCTTCTAACTTGTTCCCCGTGCTCCAGTCATTTCAGAAAAGAGCACAGTGGGGACAAGCCCTGAGAGTCCAGACTTCGGAGCCAGGGCTGCAGAGTTAGCCCAACCCATAGTGAGACCTTGTGACCTGCCTCTCACTATGCATCAAAAACTATTAGGATGGACCATAGAGCTCAAGGTGGAAGCTAATAAGCTTCCAGATGAAACCACGAAGAATGCCTTTGCAACTTCAAGGCTGGTGATGGTGTGTTAGGGTATGGAAAACAACAGCCATGAAAGAAAAAAAAAGTGATCAGCTTGACATCATCAAAACCAGAACTTCTGAGGGCTGGAAAGATGGTGAAGTGGTTAAGAGTACATGCTGCTCTTCCAGAGGACCCAAGTTCAGTTCCCAGCACCCATGTTAACTGCCTCTCATTCCAGCTCTCATTCCAGCTCCAAGAGAGCTGATACCCTCTGGCCTCCTCAGGCACCTATCCACTTCTGGCACACACTCACACAAACACACACACTTACACATACATACAAATAAGAATAAAATGAATAAAAAAAAAAAAAAAAACTTCTGCACCAGCAAGCTGGCTCAGTGGGAAAAGGCACCTGCCACCAAGCCTGACAACCTGAGCTCAATCCCTGAGTCCCACCTGGTAGAAGACAGAACTGACTCCCTCAAGTTGCATAATGGCATGTGCATCTGTTCCCCAAGTTGATTAATGGATAGACAGATAGATAGACAGACAGACAGACAGATGAATGGAATCGGGACTTCTGCTCAGAGCTGGGCTGTAGACCAGTGATAGCACACTTGTCTGGCGTGTACAAACTCTGGGTTCGTTCTCCAGCATCCCACACGCAGACAATCAAAAACCCTCTTTGAAAGCTAGACTGAAAGGAAGCTTCTACAAAACATATTTGAGAACAGACTTCTATCCAGAATAATGAACTTTCTAAACTAAATAGTGCAAAAGCAAATAACCCAAATTTTTTTTTTAAACAAGCAAGAGAGTTGAGTAGACATGTCGCAAAGGAATGTATGCAAACAGCCAATGAGCACGGTAGTGGGTGTTCAATATCGTTAGTCATCAAGGAAATGCAAATTAAAATTACAATGAGATGCTTCTACACACCCACCAGAGAAGCTAAAATGGAACAGAATGACAACATCTAATATCAGAATGGAGGCCCGGCAAGCAGAGCCTTCGCACACTGCTGTGTGAATACAGAAGTATGGCCATTCTCAAAAAGGTCTGGCAAGTTCTTCTCCACCAGACCATACCCTGCCCTTTCAACCCACAGATCTACTCTCAGGTTCTTAGACGTAAGTACAAAGACCCCTGAGAAGTGCTGTTCAGAGCGGCTTTATCAACAGCCTCAAACCAGAGCAGACCAAGTGTCTACCAAAACAGAGTGGGCCACATTTAATCCCAGTACTTGGGAGGCAGAGGCAGGAGGATCTCTGTGAATTTGAGGCCAGCCTGACCTGCACACAGAGTTCTAGGACAGCCAGGGCTAAAACAAAAAACAAAACAAAACAAAACAAAAAGAGGGGGGAAAGGGAGAGAGAAAGTTTGTAAACAAGCTAACATATATGCACACCTATCACAGTATTCAGCTATAAAAGAGAACAAACCATGATACAACAATGCACAGAACCAAAAGTCTCACGGAGAGACCAGCCCGCAAACTGTTTGATGTACAGAACACTAGAGTAGACTAGAGTAATTTATGCAATTAACATCATCAACAGCATCAGAGCAGTGGCTACCTGGGAAAGAAGCACAGGGAACTTTCTAGAATGTCTTGAAAGGAGATGAAGTTACACAGGTATTTCCATTTATTTAACTACTCACATGGCATATTTAAGATCACTGAATTTCACAATTCAACCTAAATAAACAAATACTCTGGTTAATAATATGTAATATGTGTGTATTCTAAAGTGAATGATGCTTGCAAATTACCTTTAAATAAAACCAAAAGTAAGCAGTCTCAACGAGCAGATAGAGAAATGGATGGAGGGACATATTTATGACAAAGCAAACACAGTAAAATGCCCCTTGCAAAGCCTCGGGGTGGGGTATTCACTGCATAGTTCTTTTAGCTTTTTATAGTTGGAGATTTCTTTTGTAGAGAGTAAAATAGGAGGTCTTGGATGCACTCAGTGGCAGAGCATCATCTGTCTAGTATGCCCAGGGCCCTCGGTTGGAGTTATGGGACAGGAGGAGCAAGGATTTAGCTCAGTTAATAGAGTGTTTCCACAAAGCCTAGGCAATGTCCACAGCAACACATAGAGCAGGCATGACAAGAGGTCCACAGCTACATGAAAGAAGTCCATGAGACTCTGCCCCTCATCCCCAAAACAGTAAAAACAAAAGCAACAACAAAATGAGTGTGGTGATGCATAATTATAACCCCAGCACTGGGAGGCTGAGGCAGAAGAATTGCTATAAATTAGAGGCAGACATGGGCTACTCAGTGAAATCCTTCTTTCTTTCCTTCCTTCCTCGCTTCTCCCCCTCTCTTTCTCTATCTTTCTCTCTCTCTCTCTCTCTCTCTCTCTCTCTCTCTCTCTTTCTTTTCAAGACAGTATCTCACTATGTAGCCCAGGCTGGCCTGAAATTCACTATGTAGACCAGTCTGGCTTTAAACATGCAGAGATCTACCTGCCTCTGCCTCTATCTCCATACCCATCGATGCAGTGAATTTCAAGCCAGCCTAGACTATGGAGTAAGACCTTGTCTCAAAACAAAAACAAAATAAAGTTTAAAATCATCAATGTTTAAAAAGAAAAGAAAGGGAAAGCTGGGTCTGGTGATACAGGCACGTAATCCCAGATACTTAGGAAGAACAAGGCAGGAAGATTAAAAGTTCAAGACCAGCCTGAGCAACTTAAAAAAAAAAAAAAACACAACTGTTTTCAAATAAGATTAAAAAGACAACCAGGAGTACAGCTCAGAGGAAATGTTCTGGCCTAGCATTTGTGAAAGTGCAGATTCGATCTACAAAGCCCACTAAAATAAAATGAAATGCTGGGAGGAAATGGGGGGCTATGACAGCATTTCGTCCTGTCGTCCGGCCTTACTCTGCACTAACTCAAGCTGCAGCAGACTGTCTGCTTGCCACACCTACCTACAGTTAAAAAAAAAAAAAGAGGGGGTAATGAACCAAAGGTACAAATGAGCATGTCTTCCAAACTTGAGGTTGAGGGTCCAGGCTCTTCTTAAATGGCGCGGGACATTTTCATGTATAGACTCCAGGTGGGTTTGTTGGTTGGTTTGATGATTTTTAATCCTTGATACAAGACATGTGCAAGAGGCAAGGATTGTGAATGAACGTGGGTGGACAGGCACACTAGAAGCTGGTAGCTACATGAAACTGTGAACTTAGAGCCTAAGTTCAAACAACAATAAAGGACAGAGAAACAGGAGGCTGAGGAAGGAGGATCACAGTGACTCTGAGGGCAGGCTTGGCTACCAGTGAGAATTTGTCTCATTAGAAGCAGGAGGATGGGGGGAAAAAAAGATATAAATCAGAACGCCAACTTGAATGACATAACCCTGCACAGGGAATTCCAGCTACAGCCAGTGGCGGGTGATTATCTAAGCAGTCATGACTCTTGACGAAAATAAGCCACATGGCTCTCAGGCCTGACCCATCAGCACTCCCGAGTAAGATGGGCTTTTCCCCTCCCAGAAGAGCTGTGCGCCTCTGACATCAGACAGGGAAGGGTGGTTCATACCCTATCTAAATGGCCTGTGGACTGAGAGAGGAAGTGATGGGAGGTTCCCACTCAAAACCTAGGGCTGACCTCACCCTGCTCAGAGGGCACCTTTAAAATGAGATTTTTCTCAAGCTCTGAGTGAGGACAAGGGAACCTGACCTTAGCTTAAGATTAAAAAAAAAAAAAAAACAAAAAACAAAAAAACAGTCCGCTACACGGTTGGAGAGATGTCTCAGTGGTTAAGAGAACTGGCTGCTCTTCCAGAGGATCCAGGTTCAATTCCCAGCACCCACACGGCAGCTCACAACTGTCTGTAATTCCAGTATCTGGCACCCTCACACAGACAGACATGCAGGCAAAACGCCCACACACATAAAACAAAAATTATTATGTTTTAAATGGCTGCCCGCTACACCACCTGATTAGGGGCCTCTGGCTTTCAGCTATCACAATAATAGCACTTAGGAATGCCAGCAGCTCCCAGCTGACCACTGGGAACACTGTCTCACTAGATCCTATTTGAGATACAGAGGAGAGTGATAAGAAGGGTTTCCTTGGAGACCTAAAGAAATTCACTGACGTGAGTTTATAAGCCTGTTTTAGCCCCTTGGGTGACAACAGCACTTGGCCCAGGGCCGTCACCCATCCCCATGCTACCAGAGGCTTTGTTCTTCAACAAGGACCGCTTACCTGTGTGGCCCACTGGGTTTGTGCGTGCCAAGCCCCGAGCAAGGCGTCATAGAGGCCAGTGAGCTGCTGGTCCAGTGGAAGGTCACTCTGGCACAGCTCTTGCCAGGCTGCTAAAAGCTGTACCTGCAGAGGCATAGCGAAGGGGATGTCTTACTCGGTACCCCGAAACATGCTGGAGAATTGCCCCATGCCACTTCAGAATCCATTGCTGCCCACTGTACTGAACACATAAGTACCGCTGAAATTCATCCATTTGAGAGAGAGCAGAAAGCAAACAGGCAAGACAGAGGCTCCTGCTCTCATCGCCATGCCATCAGATTCGCTGACCTCCGCACAACACTGTCTCCTCTGAGCCCACCCCAAAGCAGGCCACTGTGCTTCCTTGGGGCACACTGCAGTGTCCTGAGAAGCTCTTAGAGTGGCCATCAGCATGAGCTGACACTTCATGCCCTCCACCATATGACTTAAACACTTCCAAGGACCATCAAGATGACTCACTATGTGAAAGGCACTTCCCCGGAACCTTGGTGACCCACATAAAGGGAGAAGGAGAACAGATTTCTGTCCTCTCACCCACACTCGTACTGTGCCACGCTTGTGCCTGCGCACATGCACCTCACAACAACAACGGCAATAATAATTATAAACAACTAAGACAAACAAAACATGACTACTGTGCTTGGATTAAGATTAACCCAGCAAGCTGCAAGTTGGTAGCCTAACCCTTGAAAACATAAAATCCTTATGGCTTGCTAAGATAAAGCTTATGAATCTCCTTTAATAAAAACAAAAACAGGAATAAATTAAAACAATGTTTTAAGTCTGTGAAGGAATCTAGGCTGAAAACCCACTGACTTGTTCCAAGTGACCGGTTAAACTACCTATTGAGTGGATCAAGAGCACCCCCTACTGGCTTTCATGAAAAGAAAGATGACGAAAGGCCAAGAGTCTCTAACTTGGCCTTTGCAAACTACGAAGTTTCAGCAGGGGCAGTGGCCCTCCACAGTCCTTACCACTCACAGCCGCTTACCTTGTGACACTTGTAGTAGTAGGCAAGGAGCTGGGGCATCCGGTCAATTTCCGTGAACACCTTCACAAATACTTTTGACTGATCTAAGAAACACAAAATGTGCACATACCATTACCAGGTTCCCAGGGCAGCCAAGGCAAGCGACTCACTGATAAACTCAGGTACATGTCAACTAGATTCAGAAGTTTCTACTCAACTGAGATAACCACTTAAACTCAAACAAGAGAATCATAAGCAAAAGAAATAAAGGCAGAACATGGGACTCAGTTACCAGACACTGCAAGCCTAAGCTTATTAAAACAAAACATTTAAACACCGTTAATACTGCTAAGATTAGTGGGCATGGTGGCACATGGCTGGAATCCTAACACTCAGGAAGCTGAGACAGGAGGATGACAGCCTGGACTACATAACAAGCCCCTATCTTAAAAAGCAACACAAAAGGTACTGGAGAGATGGCTTGGTGGGTAAGAGCACTGGCTGCTCTTACAGAGGACCTGAGTTCAATTCCTAGCACCTACAGGGCAACTTGCAACCGTCTGTAACTCCAGCTCTAGAGGATCCAATGCTCCTAGAAGTTCCGGCCTCTGTGGGAACCAGGCACAAACATGGTGCCCAGGGCAGACAAATACCCATCCATGTAAAATAAGAAAACATTTTTCTTAAAAAGCAACATGAGGAGTGACATAATCAGTGCATGTGGCTGGATGGGAAACCATGGTGAGCTACAATGCAGCACTGATTTTCAATTATTCTGATTCACAAAAACAGCCATTTCACCTGACTCCACTAATCTTCATGTGAACTGAAAAACAGTGAGCAAGCCAGCCTTCTGTCAGATGCCACAAACAAATCACTCTTCACCACCTCTGGCTGTGGTTCCTCTTATGATCTAGGGGGTCTCCTGGGTCCTAACCAGTCAACCTAAACTAGGGCTCCCTTCTAGCTGTCACACCCTCCCCCTTCACAGAGTCATACGGAACTTATTGTGTCAGGCTCTTTATGTAGCCACTTGTTGTCTTTCCCACAGACAGAGAGAGAAGCCACAGGAGGGCTGTGACATCCCCTGCCTTGTTTCACTGTTCCTTGCTAAATTATTACAAAACATAGTTGCTGGAAGCACACAGAATTGTACTAAAAGGATTATTTAAGTAGCACTGCCAGGGGTGGTGCTAGAGGCAGGAGGACTGAGAATTCAAGGCAGTTCACAACTGTCTGTAACTCCAACATCTACAGATATACATGTAGGCAAAACACCAATGCACATAAAACAAAAATACATGAGTTAAAAAGAAAACTTGTGTCTGTGCACAGGTATGTGGGTGCCTGTGTAGGCCACCTGACACTGGAGCTGCAGATAACTGTGAGCTGTCTGATAAGGATTCTGGGAACAGGACTCCAAGCCTCTGCAAAGCAACAAGCCCTCTTAATTTCCAAATCCAAATTCAACACTCTTTTGTGATAAAAAAAAAAAAAAAATACTCAGTCATCTAGGAGAAGAAAACTGCCTTATCATAATAAAACTGACAAAATGCTCAGTTAAGATAAGAACCAAGACACTGCTCAGACAGCTCAGCCGTTAAAAGCATCTGTTGCTCTTGCAGAGGACTGACGAGGGTTTGGTTCCAGCACTTACATGGTGGCCCACAACCATCCAGAATTAGTTCTGAGGACCCGATGCCTTCCCCTGACCTCTGTGGGAACCGGGCATGGACACTGTGCGCGCGCGCACACACACACACACTCACACACACGGGTGAAACAGTCATATGCATAACACAAATACATCTAAAAAATGTTTTAAGATAAGGAACAAAGCAAATCCACTTTCTCTAGTTATATCCAACTTGATACTGGAAGTCCTAATCGAGCGGCTAGGCAAGAAAAACAAAGGGCATTCAGATGGGAAGAGGAATGAAATAATCTGTGCAGACGTGTTCCTGCTGCAAAAACCCCGAAGATCCACACACACAAATGGAGTGAGAATTTTGGTTTCTTTAAAAATCCAGTTATGTTATGTAAAGATGTTTTTGTTTTAATCCCAGGTGTGGAATATGGGGCTGCTTCAGACTGTCCTCAGCAGCAGACTGTTTGCCTGTGTGTGCTCTGGCAGGGGCGTGATTCTGCCAGCTGAAGACATTTGTGGGGACTCTAAAGACGGTATGAAAAGACCACAGCCCCAGGAGAGGAAGCGGCTGTTCCTCCTGCTGATTCCTGTTGCTAGATTGTCAAGTGGTTGTGAGAAAAGAGACAAAAGAGATATCTTGATGAGATAAAGACTGGACTTGCTCCAGGAACTCAATGCCCCTAATCAGCAGCAAGTAGCCTAAAAAGATCTCAACATGCCCTCTCCCCACTAACCTTCTGTCTCTCCTACTTGCTGTTGGGGTGTTGGAAGGGACTGGGAAGGAGAATGGTAGATATAAGAACCCAAATAAAATAGATTAAAAAAACCACACACACCAATGACAAATCCTACAAAAACTAATAAATTAAGAGAAGGCTTTTTTCTTGGGTTTGTTTTTTTCTGGTAGTGCTAGGCATTAAGGCCAAGGCTTTGTATACACTCAGGGAGAGCTCTACCCCTGAATTACACCCCCAGTGTGGAGCCCCAATTTTGACATGGCTTCACCACTAGACTAAGGGAAGCCCAACTTTCTTGGGCCCTCACTATGAAGAGCAGGAAAAAGCATCTCATGAGGGAGAGCGACGTCACAAGTGGGAGGTTAAGCTGCTTCCCCACGCACTGTGCACTTGGCTACCCAGGGAGCTGCTGTGGCAGTTCTGTGTTACACCTCTGGTCCCAGATTAATTACTAAAAGTACCCTCCTAGGGACAGAGATGGAGTCCAGTGGTGGAGTGCCTGCCTGGCAAGCACAAGGCCTTGGGTTCAATGCCCACCAATGCAGGGGCACAGGGAGGGTGAATGCTCTCTTCAGCCATCAAACAGAAAGAAAGCCTGCCATTGGCAACGACACAGAAAAACCTGGGAAGCACCATGCCAGAGAGAGAGAGAGATCCGGTATGCTCACATTTTATACATGCAACCCAGAGAGAGAGAGATCAAGTATGATCGCATTTATACATGCAACCCAGAGAGAGAGATCAAGTATGGTCACATTTATACATGGAATCCAGAGTGAGAGGGAAAGCAAGTATGACTGCATCTATACACGGAATCTCAAAAGCTGAGCTTAGAGGAACAAGGGAAAATGGGGACTGCTGGTGGGGAGGGTTGGGAAAGAGGAGATCTAGGTCAAAGGGCAGTTATGAGTAGTAGCACAATGACTACAGCTAATAATAATGTATTATAGACCTGAGATTTTTCTCCGAGTAGATCATCACTGTTCTCACCACAAAAAGAAAGGGGCAACTGTGTGTGACAGTTGTGCTCCCTTGATCACAGTAATTATACTATGTATCAAGTCAGCTTATTATACACTTTAAGTACACACAAATTCTTTTAAGAGCTGAAAAAAGTTTTATTTTGTTATCAATAATGTCCTTATTTAAAAAAAAAACAAAACAAAACTATGGCTGCAGGTGGGAGGGTTCCAGCTGGGTGGGCTCAGGATGGAAGTGGGGTTTAAGCCTAGGTTCTCAGAACATACCTTCAAACCACACCTCAAGTGTGCTACAGACAAGATGGAAGCATTCTGCGTTCCCTGTCCTCCTATACTCTGGGCCCCTTGACCAGAAGTACAGTTGGGGGCAGCCTTGAGAGCTAGAAAAGCACTTCAAGATGAAGCCCGACCCAGACCTCAAGGCCAGAAAGGTCCTGGCCACTAGACTCAACTTGAAGGAGGAACAAGTTGAGACTCAGCGTTCCTTGGAGCAGAAGATGTGCCCTCCCTTTGCCTGGCTGCAGCAGTCCATCCGGAGATAACACCTCTTCCTGTGCTTCCCACAAAGGCCACTGCTGCTGGCCATCGAGATACAGGCCGTTCCCATCAATCCCTCGGGATCCTCAACCACCTGTGAGCACAACTGCTGATTCTCCTTGCCCCCATTCGGCCACTCCAGCACGCAGCACAACCACCCTTTCCGACTCCTGGCTGCACCAAGCTCACCAAAGTGCTGAATGCTTTCCAGAGACTCAGGGTCAATGCTTCAACATCTGGGAGCCAGGACAGACGGTGGTATTGGACAGAAAGGACATGGCAGATGACAAATCAAGATGAATCTCCACGGGCTTCCCATAGACTCTGCAGGGCCACAACCCACAGGCTGGAGGTTGTGGTTCCAATTCTTTTAACACCCTCCCCCTCAAGAGGTGGCCTGTACCCCTGGCTACCTATCAGCTCAGTATATAGCAGAGGATGACTCTGATCTTTTTCCGCGTTCTAAGGGCTGATTACAGGCTGCAGATGCCATCAGAACAACCATTTTTCCTGGGCTCTTTTCCTTCGGTTTTGTTTTCTGGTACAGGATCTCACTCTGTAGCCCAGGCGCTAGCCAGGAACCTGGAGAGGCCATCCTGTCTCAGCCTCCCTGGTGGTGAGATTACCTGGTTTATACTGTTAGCTTTGTGACCTTCTTTATCATTTACTTTGTGTCTATGAGTATTCTTTATTTTTTTTTGAGTGGGTGGTAGTTTACCAGTGCTTCTCAAATTGCTTCTTTAGGGACCTGTTTGGGAGTTAGATCTGGGAGTGGCAGACTGATAAAATGAAATTATTGATAAATAAAATTTATTTTAAAAAATATTATATAGTCTAGATACACTGAAAATTTATATATGTGACAATGGTTTATATGGGCAGATGTCTGTGTGTTCATGTTTATAAATGTGTAGCTTTTATATAACTTTCAAAGAAAAAAATGCTAAAATCTGATGTCAGCACACCCACTTCTCTAAAGCAAACTGAAAAATTACAGCTCTTTAACCACCCTAAGTTCATCATTAGAAACACTGTCATCAGCAAAACTAACGCTGCATCTCGCAAGCCAAGAGGAGGTGTTTACAGAACAGGAGAGAGAATGCAAAATACCACTGCTGACTACCGATGGCTTCAAAGGTAGAAAAATGCAGGCTGATGTCAGGCCTTCAAGTCTGCTGAATAAATGGCTACTTCAACAGGGGACTTCAACAGGATAGTTTGAGGGATCATGCAACTCAGAAGAGAAGGGCTCACATGACACATGAGCAGCAGCAATGAACAACAGACCACAGAGAGCCGTGAAGATCAGCAAACAGCCTCTGTGCCCTCTGTGGTGGCATACATCTCTAGTCTCAGTGCTTGGGAAGCAGAGGCAGTTGGCCCACTATTAGCTGCAGGCCAGCCTGGTCTATACATCAAGTTCTAGCCTAGCCAGGGCTACACAGTGGAACCCTGTCTCAAAAAAAAAAAAAAAAAAAAAAAAGGCCAGCTTCACTGCTGTCACTTCTGGCTGACATTTTTGTGGATGAAGTATGTAGGAATGAAGCCTGTTGACGTCTGCAACTTACTTTGAAAAGAGTCACACGAGGGCTAGGAGTGCAGCTGAGAAGTAATGCAAATGCTTAGCATGCACAAAGCCCTGGTTCTCACCACAAGACCACGACTTCCCACACCAAAGACAAAGAAGGGCTGGAGCCGCACTCAGTGGCACAGCTGCCAAACAAACAACAACAGTAATAATAATAAAAGCAGTGAGAAGGAGCAACAGAGAAGTGATGAAGCAAATGTAAGGTGGGCATGGAGCTTAGTGGCAAGCCCTTGCCAGGCCTGGGTCCCATCCCCAGCATGGGGAGGCGGCAGGGGAAAATGACAGTGTTGAGGCCGAGGCCATCTTCACGGCACCTGTTTTAACCGTTCTGTATGTCAGGAAACTTAGTATAAAATCTTAAAACTATGGAAGCATTATGAAGTTACATTTTTCTGCAGTCTACAGAACTGAATCAACACAGCCTTTTATTTACACTGTTGAAACTTGCCGCACTCACCTACAGACTGAGAGGTGAACGCCGCCACGATCTGCGGGCTGGCCAGGGCCTCCAGCCTGTTCTTGAGAGCCTCCAGGTGCACACATTTCTCTGAGTAGTCTGGGGTATCCACAAGCATCGTCAAGCTGTTCTGCATCCCCGTCAGCTTGGCAGAAATCACAGCTATGTCCTATAAAAAGACCAAACAGACGATGCTTATTTTAAAAGACTCCCAACACCTCCACTGGAAATAAAGAAAAAACATTAAAAGGCAGCTCTCTGGGGCTAGAGAGACGGTTCAGCAGGTGAAGGTGCTTGCCAACAAGCTGAATATTCTGAGTTTGCATTCCCCCAAGGCCCCACATGATGGAAAGAAAAACCTGGCTCTCATAGACTGTCCTCTGACCACCACGTGTTCAATGACACAGGTGCTTGTGTACACACACCCAAATACACACACACACACACAAATATACATACATACATTTTTTAAATTTAAATTTAAAAATATTTTTAGTTAAAAAAGTAACTCATTAAAAATGAAAAAGTTACACGTAGAAATTATGTTTAACATTATCAGTACCAAAATAAGCAAAAATGAAAACAAGGAAGTACCATCTTCTTCTAACTGAAAAAGCACCAAAATGGCTATTTTTGGTAAGGATACAAAACAAAACAACAACAACAACAAAGTTCTGTCTAGTAGCACAGATGCATAGTATGGGGCTAAGGAGATTGCTCAGTGGTTAGAGGGCTTGTTGCTCAGCAGAGGGCCTGAGCTGAGATCCCAGCACCCACACACAATATTCACAGGGCTAGGGCTGTAACTTAGCCAGAGAGTGCTTGCATAGCATGTTCTAGGTCCTGAGTTTCATCACTAGCCCTAAGAGAAACATCCTTTTAACTTGGTGTTTTCTTTTCTACAAATTTTTCTTAAAGAAATAATCTGAGGCTGGGCATGATAATGTAGACCTTTAATGCCAGCATTCAGGAGACAGTGGCAGGAGGATCTCTGTGAGTTAGAGACCAGCCTAGTCCACACAGTGAGACACTAATTAAAAAAATTAAACTAAAAACAAAAGAATCTGAGGATTTATGGTGTTTGTTGGTGCATGTCCACAATGCAAGCACTTGGGAAGTAGATGCAGAAGAATTGGAAGTTCAGGGTCAGCCTGGGCTGCATGAGATCTTGCCTGAAAAAAAAAAAAAAAAAAAGAAAAAAAGAAAAGAAAAGAAAAGAAAAAGAAAATATGGTAGGACCTGAACAGATATACTGAAAGTTCTCAAAAGAAAGGGGAAAATAGCTAAGAAATATCTCAAAAATGTTCATCATCATCCCTAGTAATTAGGGAAATGCAAATCACAAGAATATAAAAAATTCATCTTACCCTGGTCAGAATGACAAAGATCAACAAAACAACAAATGCTGGAGGGAGCCGGGCAGGTGGCACACACCTGTAAATCCAGCACTTAGGAGGCAGAGGCACGTGGATCTCTGTGAGGTTGAGGCTAGCCTGGTCTACAGAGGGAGTCCAGGGCAGCGGAGGCTACACAGAGAAACCCTGTCTCAAAAAACAAACAAGCAAACAAAAAGCTGGAGGGGACATAGGGAAAAGAGAACCATCATTCACTACTGATGGGACTGTAAACTGCTACAGCCACTTTGGAAATCAGTGTGGAGAATTCTCAAAAAAATAAAACCAAATTGGCCATAAAACCCAGTTACACCACTTCTTGACATAATGCCCAAAAGACTTACTCTCCTATTTCATAGATATTTGCTCAGCCATGTTCATTGTTGCTGTATTCACAATAACCAAGAAAAGGAAACACCTAAATGTCCTTCAATATATGAATGGATAATGAAAATGTGGTACATATACACTATACCCAACTGTAAAGAAAGTGAAATCAAGAACTTTTCAGGTAAATGGATGGAACTAGAAAAGAAGATACTGAGTGAGGTAATCCAGACCCAGAAAGACATTGCATCTTCTCTCTTACTGGAAATTCCTAGAGCCAAATCTTCAGATGGGAGTACATATCCTGAAGTAACTGCAGAAACCAGGAAAGTAAAGAGGCACCAATTGGGAATGGTGGGGAGGGAGCAATAGAAACAGCAGAGTACAGATGATCTGAAGGGGAAAATGGGGAAAAAAAACGGACGGGGAAGAGCCAGGAGACAGTCTATTTAAGGAGGGAGAAGATAAATATAGAAGAAAAAAGAAGGGTAAAGTAACAGTAAAGCAGTCCAAAAAGTCACAAGAAATCAAATCAAACTATTAACCATCTCCCTAAAAATACCTATAACATGCATAAGTTAGGCATGTATGTGTGGAGAGAGGGAACAATTAAATAAACTTTTCCCATCTCTAACAGTGTTCCCTCTCAGAGCCACAGACCCTCTAATAAAACCCCCAACCCCAGGCGTGAGACACCCTTTTTGAGTTGTTGGTGAGAGTTGCTGTCCAAGAGACTCCCAAAACTTCATAGGTTATTGCTACTGGAACTGGAACTGACCTGCGAGCCTCCTCCCCGAGGACGAGCTCTCATGGTACCAGAAGGCACCACGCAAGCTTCCAAAGGAGAGGCAAGCAACATTCCTACCCAGCTGTGATGCCTAGGGACCACAACAAGCACAGCATGGTAACTCTGAGTGGGGGCAGTAATGGGAAAAACATGGTGGTGGTAACCAACGCCTCCCTTTCTAGACTTATGACCGCTCAACAAGAGGGATACCACCATGCCTGGTACTGGCAACCTAGCCAACTACTCAGGGTTAGTGAGGTCATGGATCTTGGAGAAGAACCTACCACCACCACTTTAGTAAATCAGCACAATCCCTACTTACATTCTAAATATTTGTCCTTGTCCCCACAGATACATGCAGAAGGCAAGAAGGCCTTGTGCGTTCAGATAAGCACTGGAGAAGCCAGGAAAAGTTAAACACACAGCTGATCTCTACAACGGGAGAAGATATTTGGCCATTTCTTCCAGAATGCTGGGGGAAAATTGTGGTTTCCAACCTGGTAATCCTCTCCTATCTGCTGAGCCAGGCTCTGCTGGTATCCCCAGGGTACTATGTTTGTTTATCACAGACTCCTCCTCCCGCCCCCCCCAAAAAAAACCTTGAGCTTTACTTCTAGGCCATGAAACTCATCCTTGTGAGAGATGCCATTTGTTCTTTACAACAGCCTTAGTGACTCCTCTGTTATCTTAGGCCAGGCATTATGTCTACCTCAGCCATTCTCCCTGGGCCTGTCCTAAGCACTGCTCCTAAATCAACAAGAAACCATCTTACAGGTGAAGCTTTGTCATTCGTACTCATGGGGCTGAGTTAACTGTTGTCTGAATACCTTTCCAAAATAGTGCTGTACTTAAGTAAATATGACTGAAGTTAAATGATCTGTGCCAGACTCCAGAAGTCTTGGCCCAGCACCAGTTACCAAAACGGGGCAGATCTGAGTTGCATTCTGACCTCACTCTGATCGGTTTTCCCTGCCTGCTATAAAGCCCGCAGGGGACCTCCCACACGTGGAGTCCTCATAGTGACACTGACAGAAACCTATAAATGTCCCCATTCTACAGATGGAAACAAAGGGAGTTTCAGAAAGAGAGATGGGGAAAGTTTGGCTGCTGAAAGAAAAACAAAAAAGTGCACAACAGTACTCTCATCATGGTGCTGTTTGTGGGCAGGGCGGGGGGCAGCTGGAGGACAGCATAGAGCTGGTAAGTGTCTACAGAAGAGAAATTAGGGGTTTGGGGAGTCGGGTTGTCATTTGTTTTGTTTTATGAGAGTTCTTCACACCACACCATTTCACTTCATGCTTGCAAGCAGCTTTCAAAGCTATGACTATTTTCCATTTCTGTGGCCTCTCAGAAGTGAAGTAATTTGCCAAAGTCACACTCTTTGCCAAAGTCACCCCATCTCCTCTGCCTGCATATGTCAAGCAGAGGAGGCAAGTGGAAGTGCTAGGGGTTAGCTTCTCCCTATGATGGCTGAAAGCTCTGTGGACACCCCTTATGGCTCTGAGGAGCAGCTGCCTCACTTGCTTTCCCTAAACTCCAAGTTCCTCCCTAAACGCCTGGGACAGTGTGCCCTGTAAAGGGACATACTTGAGTTTTGAAGGTCTCCTCTATATCGGCGCTCAGCGTGCTCCACTTGTCAGCTTCCTGAAGCGACTCCGCAGCAAGCTGCATCCTGGACTTCACCTGGTCAATTTCTACCAGGACCTGAAAGAGAAACCGCGTGCGCAATTCAGCGACAGTCCCCTTCTCTCTACCTCTGGAGACCAGAAACGTGTTTTGTGAGTGTTCTCACCCTTCAGCCAGCTAATTTGGCTGAGAAAATAAGTTAGGTGAACGGCCAGCCCGAGTATCGGGGAGAATTCTGAGTTCTAAATCCCCTGTGAGTGAGAACATCTGCCAAATGGAAGATGCCCCACATCGAGCACAGGAGCCAAGGTACCTGCATCGACTGTGAAGTGTCCTGTTCGAATTTTTTAATGTCCTCTTTGACAAGAATCATCTGTTCTTTCAGGAAAGACGCCTCCTGCTTCAGGGCTTCCACATCACGGAGCACTTTGGGCATGTTCTGAAGTGCCTGGAGACTTGTTTCTGCAGAAAAAAAAATGGCCACGTGCACAAGCGGTAGAAACGGGTGCTAACACAGTGGGAAATCATCACACATGTGGAGACAGGAAGGAAACTTTCCCTATAATGCTAACAATCAGCTTTGAGAATCTGCATGGAATGTGTGGCAAAACAGGGGTCAGAGAGGTGACCCCTGCCAGGACCATGTTCTCCATAGAATGACAAGTGAAACTGTGTACTTCAGAAACAAGTAATAAACACCAACCTAACCCAAGATCAACAGAAAGAATGAAGAACACGGGTGTGGTAGCGTGTGCCTAAGGGTAAGCGAACCCTTAGGACGCTGAAGCAGGAGAATTACTGTAAAAAGTGATGGCAGCTTAGGCTACATGGGGAGTTCCAGGCTGGCCTCTTTTACAGTAGGGAAACCTTGTCTCAACAAAACAAAGAACATGGGCTAGAGAGATGGCTCAGTGGGTAAGAGCACCCACTGATCTTCCAGAGGTCCTGAGTTCAATTCCCAGCAACCACATGGTGGCTCCCAGCCATCTACAATAGGATCTGATGCCATTTTCTGGCCTGCAGGTGCACATGCAGAGCACCCATACATAAAATAGAAATAAAATAGAAATAAAGAGAAATAAACAACCCAAAACAAAGAACTTTCCGTGGCATGGATGACTGCAGACTCACAGCTGAGAAAGAGGGACATAGAAGGTTTCTGTGACAACCCCTAACCCACCCTGACTCCCACAAAGAAGTAAGAGGCTGGGCAGAAAGCCACCAAAGAGAACTCTTAGCAATTGTGATAGGAACACTGAAGTGCAGCTTTCCACAACTGATGGCTTCTGGCAGAGGGGAAGGACTCAGTTTTCTTTAAGGAGGTGAGCACTGGGCATTTGACCATACTACAGTGAATATATGGGCAACAAAAATTGGACTTCTCCTCCTTTTCTCTCTTCCTTCTCCTCCTCCTCTTCTTCCTCCTTCTCCTTGGGGGGTGGGGGTCACAAAGGTCGGGGGAGGACCAGGGAGGACAGGGGAAGAGAGTATGCTCCAGGTTCAGGATGTGAAATTCCCAAATAATCAATGAGAAGTTATTTTACAAGGGAGAACCAGGGCTGATGGCTGTGTCACTGCTCGCTCTATCAGAGGACAGAATGGATGAGGCCTGTAACTCTAGCTCCAAAGGGTCTGAAGCCCTCTCCTGGCCTCTGTGAATATCTGCACATGCACACACATGCACAGAAAAGAAAACAAACCTTAAAGCATACAAGCCCAAAGAGCTAGGCTGTGGCTCAGTGGCAACCCACCTGTCAAGCAGTATATGAGTTCAGCTTCCATCTGCCTGCCATGTTTTGGTTGTGGTTTGTTTTTCTTGTTTTCATAGTTTTATTTTGTTGGACTTTTCCTGGGGTACTTTTTTCTCTAGTTCCAACCTTTTCACAGATATACTCAGTTTTCCTAATTATAAAAAGCTTCCTGAGGGCTGGGGTTGTAGGCACATGCTACCACAACTGTGACCTTCATTCTTTCTTGTAGCCTGCTGGTTTGGAGTCAAGCTGACGTTGACTGCTTGCTTACTTCTGAAGCACAGTTTCATTCATCATTCTACAAAGGACGCGGTCTTGGCTGAGATCACCTCATGGCCCCCTGTTTTAGCACACATTCCCTGATTTATTCAAGGACCACCTGGGTTCAATGTAGGGGAAAGGTGTGTTTGTCAAGTGACCTTCAAATATGGTTCTCTTTGTATTATCAATGAACTGGGTTAAGGACACTTTTAACAGGTGTTCACACAAAATACGTTGCTGCTACAAGTCTCCACTTACTAGAGATGACCAGCGATGCTGCAATTGGACATTTCACCATCCGCACAGCACTGGAGATGAGTGACTAGAAACTCTAACCATCTGAGCTTCTGGCTGTCTGCTACGCTCTGAATCTGGGAAGAGCCTTCAAAGTGGAACCAAAGGCAGAGGGCAGGGAGATGCCTGAGCTACCAACGAAAGCAAGGCTGTCTCATGTTTCCCCTTAACACATGTGTAAACTTTTGGAAATTCATAAGGTGAATGACAGCTACCTGAGTGCTATGGCTGCCATACTGATGAACATGAAAACAGAATGATGCACAAAACCCAGGGTGCTTTGAAAAGTTTGGGCACTTACAGATACAAAGTGGCCCTGGCTGCCGCACTCGGGGCCCCCTGCAGCAGACTACAGACATGAACACCATGGTCTCCACTTTGCCTCGTGCTCGCAAGACCTGAGCATGTTTTAGGATCCCCTAGTCTCTCTTCTAGTAGCTGTGGGACTGGGGCCAAGACCTGCATCCCTAGCACTTCTAAAGATAAGGATGTGAGTTCCAGGAGCCACTGAGGACCACTAGCCCAATCTTTCACTGCTCCCACAAGCAGACAGTGGAGAAATATACCCTGGAAATTGAACTGCAGCTCGGTAACCCAGGCTATGGGGCACTGTGTCCTCTGTCCAGTGAAGCAGCAAGGAAGGGAAGTGACTTATGCCTATCCATACTCTCTCTCTCTCTAACACACACACACACACACACACACACACACACACACACACACACAAATAAATATAATTTTCAAAAAAGTGGTCAAAATGCTGGGAGTGGTGGCACATGCTTTTAATCCTAGCACTCCATAGGCAGAGGCAGGCGGATCTCTGTGAGTTCCAAACCAGCCTGGTCTACAAAGTGAGTCCAAGACAGCCAGGGCTCTGTTACACAGAGAAACCCAGTCTGAAACCAACCCCCTTCCCCCCAAAAAGGTCATAAATCTGCAGGGAATAGTGGCACAGACCTGTTCCCAGTCACTCAAGATGTCAAGGCGCTGAGGCAAGATTGCAAATTCAAAGCTTTCTTAAGACACAGAGTGAGTTCAAGGCCAGCCTAGGAAACTTAGTAAGACTCTGTCACCAAATAAGAGCATGCTAGAACCTAGATTTAATTCACAGTGCATACACACACACACACACACACACACACACACACACAGTAAAAGTCTTCATTCAAGGTAACCCATCTTCCTTAGCTTATAAAGACATATTATAATGTGTCATTCTCATATACTGCTAAATACCAGGATCAGCTAACTATTTAACATTCTCAAAAGTGATTCTTTATGCCAGGCATGATGGAACATGTCTATAAGTCCAGAACTTCAGAGTCAAAGGCATGGAGATCAAGAGTTCAAGGTCACCCTTCACCATACAGCAAGTTCAAAGCCAGTCTGGGTGAGACCCTATCTATCCCACAACCTTCAAAGCAACTTCTTTCAAGATTTATTTTTCAATTATGTGCACCTGTTGAATCTGTGTGTCAGTAACGGGCATGAGAGTGTTCGTGCATGCCCAAGAAGGCCACTAAACCGCTTGGAACTGGAGTTACAGGTAGTTGTGCGCTATGTGATGTGGCTTCTGGGATTTAACTCAGGTCCTCTACAAGAGTATTGGGTGTTCTTAATCACTGAGCCATCACTCCAATCCCAAAGTAATGCCAGAATTGGGAAGCTGAGGCAGAGGGAGAATCACTATGAGTCTGAGATTAGCCTAGGCGACAGAGAGTGAGGTTGGCACTGAGAGGAGAAAACACACACAGAGAGAGATCCTATAGCCCAGGCTGGACTCGAACTCACTTTGCAATGGAAGCTGGCCTTGAATTCCTGGTCCTCCACCACCACCTTCCCAGTGTTAAAATTACAGGCGGTCGCCACCACGCCCAGCTCTTTATTAGGTTTTAAAGGAAATATCATGGCATCGCCAGAGGTGAACACCTAAGTCCACGCCTATCTCGGCCTACTGCAGGGCTAGCTGTCCCACCAAAGGAGAGGCTTGGCCGCCGGGCCCGGTCCTTAGGTGGCTGTGGCTCACCCTCCACGGCGTGGTTCACCTCCTGGATAAACAACTGAAGCTTCATCACCAGGGTGGCTGCGTGGCTGTCCGCCTTCCCCGCCGCCGCGTCTTTGGGGCCGGCTCTGAAGGCCGCATTGATCCAGTCCTTCACATCGAAGTCGTCGGCCAGGAACTTGGAGAAGTCCATGGCGCGCGGCCTTCGGGCTGGCGCAGGGCGACACCGCCTTCGGGGCGGCTGCAGGAACCCACCGCGTCCGCCACTGGCCGCCCCGTCAGCGCGCTCGCCAACCAGGCTGAATGTCCCTCGTCGCCCTCCGTACTTTTTCCGGAAGTCCGTGCCCGTTACCATAGCGACTGTTCCCACTGTTGGCTGCGGGCTCGGTGTTGTCCCAGCAAATGCGACGGTTCCTTTTCTGCTAGTGTTTGCCAAGCCGCAAACCAACTCGTGTTCTTTCTAACCTAGAGCGACTTGACGTCTGAGAAGGTGTAAACTCGGCGTGCTACTTTTTTGTCCTCACTAAATGCATGCAGCAGTTTTTTAGATTTGCTTTATGTGGATGAGTGTTTTGCATGTATGTATGTCTGTGAACCACTTGGGTGCCTGGTGCCGGCAGAGGCCAGAGAAGGTGAAGGATCTCCTAGAAGTGGAGTTTTACAGTAATTGTGTGTGCTGGGATTGGAACTCAGGTCCTCTGGACGAGCAGCCAGCACTTTTAACCCCTGGGCCACCTCTCCAGGCCGCCTTAATTCTTATAAATTTCTATAGAATTGATAATGTTATCCCCTCTTTCTTTCTGGTCTAATTTCAGTAATCTTAAAAAAAAAAAAAAAAAAACTTTTCCTTTAATTCTTCCTTTTTTTTTTTCAATTTCTTCATTAAATTAATCAGTTTCCTTTTTTTCTCTGAGCTTTATTTGCTTTTGTTTAGTATAGCAAAGTAGTTTTGGGTTTTGTTTTGTTTCTTATGGTGGGCTCTTACTCTGTAGTCCTTCCATCTTGGAACTCGTGCAATCCTCCTGATTGAACCTCCCAAGTGCTGAAGCTGCTGGCTTGAGCCACCACACCATGGGCTAGTGTTGATTTCTAATTTAACCCCATGTCTTTAGAAAACATGATTTAAGCTGTTATAAATGTACAGATTTGTTATGGCCTTGGTAATGGCCTGTCATGGAGAAGGGTCTGCGTACATTTGAAAATATGTTCAATACAAAAAAAGGACATGAGGTTATGAAAAATGGATACAGCTAAAGATAATAAGCAAAGCAAGCCAAAAAGTCTCGTGTTTTCTCTCACTTTGGGGTCTAGATTTTATACATACCTAAAAATGTCTAACATGAGGGCCAAAGGGAGACAGAGGAGGAAGAAAGGAGAATGGGGGAGGGGGACAAAGAGAAGATATTCAGAAGAGAATATAGTTTAAAAACATAGTATAGATGAAATAGGCTGTCTTTGTGGAACCTAGTGCTGTGCATAATGGACAGTGAATACCATGAAGAGGAGGAAGCAGAGGAGAAAGAAAAACATGTCTGACATGTGACAACATGGTGATACATGCCTGTAATCCCAGCACTAAGGAAGCAGAAAGAGGAGGATGGCTTTGAATTTGAGGCTGCTCAGGCCTATATAGTAAGACCCTCTCTTGTAAAAACCAACCAAAACCAAACCAACCAAAACAAAAAACAAACAAAAATCTGCAATCACTGGGTAAGAATTCCATATATTTTGGTAAAAATGGTTATTGGTGCGCTTCAAAACTTATACCCTTGATTGTCTTCTGAGTTGTCCCACCAATTATTGAAAGACTTTAAATCTGCAACTAATTATTGTTAGCCAGGTGCAGTGGTACACACTCAGGAGGCAGAGGCAGGCCAACGTGAGTTCAAGGCTAGCCTGGTCCACAACAGCCAGGGCTGTATAGAGAGACCCTGTCTCACAAACAAAACAGAATGAAATTTGTATTGTTGTACTGTCCACTTTTCTGTCCAGCTGCATTTATTTTTGCTTCAGGTTCTTCAGGGCTCTGATACTAGGTGTATGTACACTTGTAACTTTTATCTTCCTGAGCTATTCACCTAATACCATCATCAACTATACCTTTATCTCTAGAATAAACCCTATTCTCTCACTTACCTGGCTAATTTTTTAGTATATTTTGTGTTTGCGTCCACTGGTGTCACCAAGGTCCAGGCTATTCTTTATGGGTTTTTTTTTTTTTCTTTTAAGATTTAAAAAAAAATTTGATTCTCTGTATATATGTATATTTTTGTATGGGTTTGGTCCCTTGTGAATGGATGTATCCAGAGTCCAGTCCCCTAGAACTGGAGTTAGTTAGAGGCAGCTGTGAGCCACCAGTATGAATGCTGGGAACCAAATGTGGATTTTCTGCAAGAGCAGCATGTGCTCTCAACTGTTGTTATGCTTTTTTCTTATAGAGCATTCCATATCCACAAAGGTTTGACCCTTTCAACTGATCCTTGTGTGGGTGGGTATGGTTAGTGCTGCCAACTTGACAGGATCTACGATCACATAGATGGGCCTCTGGGCATGACCATGAGGGATTATCTTTTAGACCAGGCTGGCCTCAAAACTCAGAGATCAGCCTCCTTCTGCCTCCACAGTGCTGGGATTAAAGCCATGCACCACCATGCCCCAATGGGGGATTATCTTAATTGTGTTGATCCAAGAAGAACCAGCTTCATTGTGGGAGAGACAGTTCCCTGGGCAGGAGGGTCCTGGACTATATAAAATAGAGAAAGCTATGCGGAATACTAGCTTTTTCCTGATTATGTGTACAACATGATCTTCTGCTTCAAGCTCTTCCTGCCTTGACTTGTTACACTGAACTATGAGCTAAAATAAACCCTTTCTGCCTTAAGCTGTGCCACAGGTTAGAATACTTTATCACAGCAATAGAAAAAGAAAGTGCACAGGGAACACAGGGCACGTCTAAACCATTTTCAAGTCTGACCCAACATTTTCTTCATACTGTGCTCATATGAATGTAGGGCTATGTGGTCAGTTTGGGCACCAATAACTCAGAAACCTGCCACAACCTCAGGTAGGCAATGCACCTCCTCTGCTGATGACAAGTGGTGGTCCTGGTGACGCCAATGTTCCACCCACAGCAAAAGATGGCCTCTGCAGTGGGGAGAGGGAACCGTGAGAAATCCCAGTGACGACTGACACAAAAACCGTCCTCTTCAAGCACCAGCTTCTCCAAACACAAAGGCCCCTCAGATACCACCAATCCTTCCCCTCAACTACCCAGGGACCTTCTCAAATGTGTACATGCTGCCAGCTGCTCTTTAGAAACATGTCAGTCTGTGTCCTAGTCCTGACTCTATGCCTACACTCTTCAAAATGCTTTTTAATGTTGTATTATGTATGTGCTTAAGATTTGTGAACATCAGTGCAAGTGCAGAGGCCAGAAGGGGGAATCAGAGTTCGGGTAGTTGTTAGCCTTCAGATACGGGTCTAGGAACTTAACTCTGGTCTTCTGCAAGAGCAATGCATATATTCTTAACGTTTCCAGCCCCGAGCCAACTATTGTTGAGACACGTCAAAACTGACCGGGATAAACAAGGCACAGTGCCTGGCACACATCCTTAATGCAAGCACTTAGGAACTGGAGCCTAGAGAATCAGGAGTTCATACAAGAGACTTTGTATTTTAGGGGAGGGGGACCCCGAGCTCTGCTACCTGGCTTCAACACATCTTCAGTCTGCCTAAACTAGCTTTATTCAGTTCCTGCCACACCTGCCCCAAATGCTCAAATGGCTGCTGGGTGGAGCACAGTGTTTCATGTCTTAAATCCCAGCACTACGGAGACAAAGACAGGTGAATCCCTATGAAGTCAAGGTCAGCCTGGTTTAGACAGCAATCTCTAAGCCAGCCAAGGCGAAATTGTGAGACCCTGTCTCACACAAACAATGCTGCTGGGAGTGGTAAGGAGGGGCATCAAGGGGTCTGGAACTGTTCTCCTGCACTTCCTCTACCCTTCTGAGGGTTCTTCCGGCTACTGTATGCGCCTAAGCATGTGTGCAGTCAAAAAAGGGCAGCCCACTGTCACCTCAAGTGTCATTTTTGTCCCTCATTTCCCATAAGCAAACCATGGAAACCCAGCAGAAGAGAACGGCTATCAGTACTGACAGGACCTGGGGGATGCCCAGAGACCACAGCCAACCTGTGGCTGCTTGCTGGTCGGGGGCGGGGGGCCTTCCCTAGGCTTGCTAGAAAAGGTAGTGCCACCCCCTGAGCTGAGGTGGGGAGTAGCACTCCCCATCTCCACCAGAAGGGGTCACAGACCAGGTAAGAGGGTTTCTAGCTGGGTAACAGGACTCACACATCCTAGTGAGGAGACAAGGCACTAGAGGTCCTGTGCTTATAGACGTTAGTGTGGTTCTTAACAGTGGGGTTTCTCTGGTCCTAGCTGACCTCGAACTTAGAGAGCTGCCTGCCTCTGCCTCCCAAGTGCTGGGATATCACACACCCGGACCAGAGCAGAATGATATTGTGTGCGTAAGCATTTGTGTGAACAGGGTGTGCAGATGCCATCGAAGCCGTGTTGAGGGTGGAGAGATGCCGCAGGTAACGCTCCTTGATTCTGCCTTTGAGAGGGGATCTTTGTCGTCTTCTACTTTGTACACTAGGTTAGCAGGCCACAAGCTCCCGGAATTCTCCATTTTTAGCTCCCCTTAGCAGCAACGGGATTACAGATGTTCATTCCAAGAGTCCAGCTTTTACAGGGGCTGTGGGGGATTTGAACGTAGGTCCTCATACCTGCGCAGCAAGCACTTTTACCGACTGGTATCTCCCCAGCCTCCAGGTGTGTGTGTGTGTGTGGGGGGGGGGTGCTTGTGTTTACAAGATCTCGTGTCATCCAAATTGAAACTGCTGGTCTTCCTCCATCTACCTCTTGGCCTGCTGAGATTACAGGATAGGCATGGACCACCTGGCAAGTTTGTGGTGCCATCACCACAGTTGAAGGAAACAAACACGGAGACCCTAACCCTAACAAATACAGCGGGTGCAGAGAGGCTGCGGAGGGACTGCCTGAAAAGCTGAGGGCACTGCTAGTCAGCGGCCTAAAGAAAAATCTCATGGTTCCCCATCTACCAGATCGGCCGCCAGGCCCTGAGCCGGAAGCGCATTCTTCGACGTAAGGTCTGAGCACTGTAGGTGTCTGGGCCTACGAAGGTTGATGCAAGGTATCCCGAGTGTGCTTCCCCCAAGAACATCAGGCTCCAGACCGGGAAGGGAAGGGCATGGAACCAGGTTTGCGTCACAGGATTCCCAGTCTGGCTG